TTTTCAATTAAGGAATTTTTATATTTCTACCGTCATTTATAGTTTTATAATATCTACGAGATAATTTAATTGCTACTTAAGTTATCATATATCGATAAATTGTACTCATAATGAAAAATATGTTTTAAACCTTCATTCAATGTCAAATCATGTTGTATAAATAATCTTTTAATATTAATAAAATAATATACATTGAAATAAATAACTAAACTTAACATAAACTAAAATATATCATTAAAAGGAGTCCCTTTAGGCAAGGTTCCGAAGATACTGGCAGCGTTCCCCCTTTGAATTGGTAGACTAATTCTTTGTCCGAGGTAGCTGCCAGATCTTCGTCTCCTGTGATGTCGACTAACCTTTTTGAAATTTCTTTAAAAAGCCTTAAAGCGCTAGGACCCCACGGACCAAGGGTCTCGACACCGAATGGGACAAAATCATATTCTGAGCCTAGACCCCTGTATTTGCAAGTTTTCGTTTTTTCAGCCGCTTCACAAGCCGCACCAGCTCTGTAGTTGGTTCCATGTAGATGGGAAGGGGCCAGCGTGTCTGAACAGGTTGCATCCCATACCAGTACCCGACCCATCTTCCATGGAATCAAACTCATACCGTCCGGTCTTTTGCCATCGTCTTTTGCAATACCACTCGGCTCAAGTAGACTTGGCACGTTGACGGTGGCAAGGGAACGGCGTATGATATCGTTAAGTGCGGCATGTTTCGAGAAGCTTCCTGCACTTTTTTGGCATGAAAGGCCGTGATGTCCTAACTTGTCGACATCACTGCCACAGGGACATATATGAGGAGCACAGACTGGAACCCCAAGCCGTAGACAGGTTGCGATTCGAAGCGTGTCAGGCTCAAGAAAAGTTCCTGTATTTGACGAAGGGTAAGCGGGAAGCCAGTAGCCGGCCTCATGCGTACCCACGGCCAAAAGCCTAGCACGCGCCGAACCTGTACTACAACTCAAAAGATCGTCAAAAGTCAATTTGCAGTGTATGTCATCCCAGCTCCTCTGTGAATTTAGAGATAATGGAAAATTTTGACCTTGGCATGCAATTAAGAAAGCGTTTCTAGCTTCTTCCAAGCCAGCAATCTCAAAGTTTGAAGGGGATGCCCTTAAAATTTTACTTATGAGATTTGCTGAACTATGGACAGAAGATAGAAAGGCTGGTAAAGCGACACTGGAAATTTTGCGAATCGCTAAACCACCATAACGGATGGGTAGGGAAGCTTGGGTCCAAGATTGCTCGTTCAGCTGCATATTAAGAAGTGATTCTAAGCTAATTTTGATTAAGTCGTAATGGTGTCAAAAGATCTGGGTGATTCCAAAAGGAGCAGCAACGGAGCACATACGTAAATTTTGGGAGGAAAAGACAGAATTTTAAGATGCAAAGTGCATAATGTGGACTAATTTCAAGGAGACGGTCAGCAGAATTTTGAAATTTAGTAATTGAAGTATGAATATAATCAGAAATAGATTCATTAAAAATTGGAGAACCTAAAAGGTAAAGGGAATTCCTGTTAACTATTTTAATATTTGGAGCCAAAATTTGAATTTTTTTTTTTACATCATTTAAATTTAAGTCGCAGTTATTTATGAAAAGTTCGCATTTGTTAAAATTAAGCTCCAAACCAATGTCTTCAAATTTATTTTTGATAAAAAGAAGGTCCGAAAACACAGTATCCACATCACCTCCTAGGGTTCCGTCGTCCAAATACCAAACATTGAAATTAGAATTTAAATTTTTAATTATCGGATTTATAGCCAAACTAAAAATTGCAGGCCCAAGGGGATCACCCTGTTCCTGTTGACAACCTACTTCCGAGAAAAGTTCATTAGAACGATATAACAATTTAGTTGGATCAGCGTACCTGAGAAGAAGATAATTGTATATTTCCGGTATATGTTGTTTTATTTCAGTCAGCAGGGTATCCCTATTTACCGAATTAAATGCATTTTTCACATCAATTTTGAGCAACACGTCTGGCTGTCCGTGACTTAGGAAAGAGCGTAGGGCATGGACGGCTGCCTCACACCCTCCTTGCACACCGAAGCCTAACTGTACAGGTTCAAATTCTGAATTTAATTTTGGTAAAATATGTCGGACAGCAATTTTGGAAGCCAGACGTCGTAGTGTTGATCCAACAGCAATTGGTTTCACCCCTCCGTCCTTTTTAGTGAGGGCAATGAGGTTCGCGCCGAAAAGAATGGGAACAATTTCTGTATTGACATCCCCGGAATACATAAAATTTATTAATTTTGTGATCGAGTTAATAAGTTGCTCGCCTGCATCACCCACAGAATGCGATGTTAAATCTTTCAAATGTTGGGGTGAGATTTCAACCAATCCTGCAGCCGAACCTGGTTTAAAAGATAAAATCGCATCAGTTACATCTTTGTTTCCAATTTGAAGGCATGCTTGCCCTGCTGTTGGTGGGTCGAGAAAATATGGGTTTACTGGAGCTGGGGGATGTTTTATCCGTAATGCCTCAAGGGTGTCAGGTGTATCTGGCTATAGCACGTCATTGGAGAACAAAAGGCGAGCGGCACCTTTAAGATCTCCGTCACAAATTTTGTTCTCGATGAGTTTTTTTGCGATTAAAAGGGGCATCATGTTTAATTAGAGGTGCGGGAGAAGGTGAGGAACTTACAGCACAGTTATTCTTTATCTTTTGTGTCAGGGATAAATTCGGTTCATCAGTTTTTATTATTTTTTAATTATATACGGCAAAACAAATACATTAAAGTAAATACTATTAAATATATGAACAAACAATTTCGTTTTAAATTAAATTATAGACTTTCTCAATTTTTAATTAATTTAATCATAATTCAATCTCAGTCATATGGACTAGACAATTAAGTGTTTCTTACAAATTCTTCTCGTACGTTCTACGCGCTTTATTTGAGAACTGGTAGTAAATGTAAATTTGGGAACATTGGTTTTTTGAGTTCATAATCGACATCCCTAGCTACTGTCAACAGCTGCTCACGTCATGTCATCTGGATAGGGCTCTTTGACCTATCACCCATTTCATTCACAGATTTCTACACTACAAAAACAATAAAGCCCTTATCTTCGCCAGATAAGAACGTAGCTTCATATAATTTTACACCTACGAGTATATATTAAATCTACAAACATATAGTTTTATATAAATTTTGGTTATTTTCGTTGCGGGTTCGTCCGTTCGTTCGTTTCTATTGTTGTTACTGTGGCTATGTGATTGTTAAATATTATTTTGTTTTAATTCTCTCATTAAAAACGTGCGGTGTTTCGCCGCGAGAGATTTTATTATAATGTATGCTTATTAAATTATGTCTAATAGAAAATAATACTGGAAGATAACGACATTGAAAAATTAAGTCGCTGTTCAGCGTTAGTTTGTAAAAAATCACTTATGTAGGTATTCAGTAAATTTTAAAGTTTTTAACACTATTATAACTTTTTGTAGTTAACAATTTTAAAGATTAATCTCGAAAGGAATTTCTTGTGTAATTAATCTATTTATCCCTATACTTAGACTGAATTAAAATAAAATAAAAAATCACTTACCAATGTATATAACCATAATTTTTGAAGTTATACTTATTTTGGCGCGTTAGGGAAAAATGATAAGAGTAAATTTTTATGACACCGTTACAAAAAACCCTCCCTGAAGTTAGCTATAGTCAACATTTTAGTTTTTTCTATTGTTAGTGTCGTTTTTTCTACAAACGTAGAAAAGATTTTTATCTTGATACGCCAAAGAAGTATAACTTCTAACGCGTGTACATAAGTTTTTTTTAATAATAAATCTGTAGAAACTGCGTGTGGTAGTACATTTATTAGATAGTTAACAATAATAGATCGGTTAACTCATCCAAAACTAGTAAACTATTTATTTTACTAAGCTTTATTCAAAGCAGTTTAGTTTCGTTGATTTAACTTTTAAGAAAAAATTGCGCCTTTTATAGATGTTTTATAATTTTCCACGCGCCTATGCTAATTACATAGCAAATTCACTACACATATCGCTAGGCTAACTTTTTATAATTTATGCACTACATCACAAATAGTTCCAAATTAATTTATCGAGAGTGCTTCACCAAGAAACTTCCCACGCCTCGTGTGATTAGTCAAGACTTGCAGCCTTAGCAAGTCATAAAAATAAAAACAGTAATTTTAAAGAATAGTCTGGTGAAAGGAATAAAAGCAGAAATTTCGATTTTCCTAATATCAATATTCTATATACATAACATTTCATCTGATTTCTCTTGTACCAAATTACAAACCTATTATTATTATCTACACCAAATTACCAATCGCGGTATAGTTACGCGTTACGTCATCTGGGGCCCGTGGCAAATTCTTTTGATGGGGCCGTGTCAGTAAAAATCGACACGTTGTATTCAGGTTAATTTTAATAAACTTCGAGATTTTCAGCGTATTCAATTACACATTGTATATGTCGCACTAATGGCCATAGGCCTCCTCTCTTAGGCGAGAATGAATGGTCTGTAGTCCTCACGCTAGCCCAATAGATATTGGAGACTTCACATTCATCCATAGAACATAATATCTCTTGTTCAGGGGTCCTCTTGGGTCGGGGGCCGTGGACCACCCTATTGTTACGCCACTGGCCACTGCAAATTACATTTCCTTCATGTAAAAGCCCGATTCGGCATTAAGTAGTCCAACTCGTAAACGAGAATGTTTTTAAAGAATACACCATAGGTATATCATAGATATCTATCACTATAGACGAAGAAAATTTTCCATTTGTAATATCTTAATTTTATTGAACCAGATTCAAATAACCATACTGTTTACCTTTTCACTGTTACAAAAAAACATCCTAAATCAACCCTTAAAAAATGAAAGTATAAATTTACGTCTGTGGAGCTTTTTTAGTGTATTGTCAATTGTCAAATGATACGTCAATTGCATACTCTCTCTTCAGTTTTAATTTTTCAAGTGTAAATACAATTTGTAGGACTGTTAATATTTCACTCAATAACAATGTCTTTAGATACCGTACCCAAGGACTTACGAGGTTTGCGGGCGTGTTTAGTGTGTTCATTAGTAAAGGTAATAGACTAGTAATACATTTGAAATTAATTCATTTTACTAAAATGTTTATTTACTTTTTGTGTACTTTCAGACTTTTGACCAATTTGAATATGATGGTTGTGATAACTGTGACGAATTCCTTCGAATGAAAAATAACAAAGATAATGTTTACGATTGTACAAGTAATAATTTTGATGGGTAAGAAAAACTTAATGCTTAATTACATACCCATACCATGTCATACTTTACAAATATATTTATTTATATGTATATAAATTTAGCAATTATTTATTTTAATAATTGTTCCAACATTTGTTTCTTGTTTTGCACCAATATACTGCGCAGGTAATCAGTTTGTCTTCACTTGTTTTAGTTCAAGTAAGGATAGCTTTATTATGGATCAATGCTTAACAACCTAGATGACCTGTAGCACAACTGAACCAATAAGGTTTTTTAAATTTTAAATGAGTTCTTAATATTAAAAGATCTCAATATAAACTTTTCAGAATGATTGCTGCTATGAGTCCAGAAGATAGTTGGGTGTGTAAATGGCAAAGAATAAGTAAGCATGAATTATAATTTATCTTTAATCATATTAATATAATGAAATCTATTATCATTTATAATGCAATTTTAGATTTTGCAAGTTACAGAGGGAAAACAAATCATTGGATTGGATTATCTAATGGCCTTAAAATCATCTAATCAATGTCATAAAATCTAATAAAAGCCGAGAGGCTGAATACAGATGGGTGAAGGAAAATTAACAGATTTTACCAATAAAATTAATTGTATGTTGTATATTTATATAATTAGTTATATTTATTTAGGTAAAGGAAAAATAAGGCATAAACATGTTTTTGCAGGTTATTAAAACTATAAACTTGTGAATTTTCAAAAAATTACTTAACAAAATTTAAAATAACTAATTAATAATTTTATATGGTTTTTATATAATAACTACCATTACAGGCCGCTTCTGTAAGGGAGTCTATGCTATATCAGTATCGGGTCGTCTTCCTGCAGGTGTCATAAGAGAGATGAAAAGTCGTGGCATTGCGTATAGACCTAGAGATACAAGCCAACGTTAAAAATATGGATGTTACAGATCTTATTATAAGTACTTTTAATTTGAAATAAATAATGTATTTGAATAAATAAGAAATTTTATTCTTATCCCTTTTTACTTAGAGGAAATATGTAATATATGATTAAAATAAAACACTTTAATAAACATTTATAGTATTAATTTACTGCGTAAATTATAACATCACAGTTCTATGTTGTTACTATTGGAACTTTGCTTTAATCATTCATAAAATGGCTTAACAATGTCAATAATACTTAATAAATGTCATGATTTATTTAACTAGTATAAAATGTACTCAAATTTAATTATGCTTTTTAAGTTACAGGATTTTATAAACTAAACATTGCATTTCTTCAAATAATAAATAACTTTGAACATATCAATTGATTGTTCTAGATAATAGATAAATGCACAAAATTGAATAGTTGTATTTTATACCTCGCTTACTTTCAAATCTTGACACCAAGATAAGATAACTTTTCCAAATATGCTTACAAAGTATTAAAAAAAGGAAGATAGACAATTGTGTAATAGTTCTTATATGTTACAATCAAACCACTATCATAAGTTAGAATTGTTTTACTAATGAGTTATCTAGTTTAATGGGTTTTTAAGAGGTGAATATTTGCATAAATATAATTAACATAGAATTGTATATTTTCTATTGTACAGAATTGGTAATTGCACCTTTAGTAACATTAAAATTAAAGATATTCCAGCAAGTAACTAGATTAAACACACACATTAAGTCACAATTCTGTCAACTACTGCCCTCAGTTGGAGGTACCTTAAACTCGTTTTCAGTCCCTAAAACATCCTTATCAATGTCCTTAAAATCAATATTTTGCTGCTTCATAGCTTTCTGAAATTCCAGAAGAATATTTTTAGTGACAGATATAAAAAAACTATTTTAGGTAACCAGTACAGTATAACCTATGAAAAAACACACCTTTACACATTCTTGATAAATCTTAAATATTCCGGCACATACTGAGTCGTCGTGATCTCCTTTAAGAAATCGCTCAGAAAACCAAGAGTTGAAACAGTCGTCATATTTTTTCTTTAATTCAGTACACTCTTCACCTATACTATTCATTTTGCATTAATAATTTTTCTTTATACTTCAAAATACAGAATTGTATGTAATGTATGTAATTGTACTAATTGCTGAAATTTAAATACACACTCAGAGATATTACACAATTTCTTTGGTTATTTCACAGACTAATAATTATGGTTCTAATGAGGCAATGAGCATATGACATACATATTTGTTAAAAGTTAATGTCATTTCGTTGTCAAACTTTACTGACTTATTTTCTAGTCTGTGGTCTTGTTCAGTATATTTTTTGCATTTTGAATTTTGAGGTTATATTAAATATTTTGAGTTGAGTGAAAATGTTGTTGTTCTTAATACTTATGAACACGCAACAAGTTTCAATTTTTAAAACATGTTGATGAACTGTATGTAAAAGAGTACTCTTTACTAAAACGGAAGTTTACATATTTTCTACTACTAAACTAATCTTTTTTGATTAGTATTAACAAATTAAAAATATAAATCTAAAAAATTAAATCACCATGTCTGATATTTTAAAAGACAGCCGTTTTGCTAAATACCTTAATGATCCTAAATATAGACAAATACCTAAACATGAAAGAAAGGTTAAAATTGACAAAAGGTTTCAATCGATGTTCAGTGATGAAAAATTTAAAGTAAAATATACAGTAGATAAACGAGGTAGACCTATAAATGAAACTTCAACAGAAAACTTAAGGAAATACTATGATTTGGATGAGTCAGATGGAACAGATAGTGATATAGATTCTGAAAATGGGGAAGATGGGACTCAGAAAGATCCTGATATATCTAGTAAAATTGAGGAACAACCCGGTCAATTCGTGAAACGACTTCCAAGTGATGAAGAAAAGGAAAAAATAGACTCTCAGGCATTCAAGAATGACAAACTAGTTCGTGGCAGTTTAGATAAGAAAACTAAGAAAAGATTACTGGATTTGGACATAGATTATGCTCGAGGCGAAGGTTCCAGTTCAATTTACATTATAAAGTAGCTTATAAGACAATATGGCTTTAATTTCTAGTAGCAGTAGCTTAATGGGCACTTTAATATTCATATTTATGTGTAGTAATTAAACATAATATGTATGTTGTCTATTTATAGGATGTCTCTGGACCGATAGTTCAAGTGACGAAGAAAGTAGTGAGGATGAGGTAGACAGTGAGTTAGAACATGAGTGGGGTGAATTAGATGCTGATGCAGACACAACAGATGAGTCTACTAAAAGGTAACAGTAAAATCTATATAACACTGGCTCAGTTATTTATGCAATTATTTTACTAAATAAGTAAACACAGGTCTGATGTAGTTTTAATTCACATACATTATGACTTTATAGTTGTATAAGATTTTTGTTTCCCTCATTACCTCATCATATTCTATATATATATATATATATATATATATATATATATATATCAGTTCTGTGTGTGTATTTGTGGTTAACAGTTCAGATTGCCTAAACAAATGAAGGTAGTTCTTGACCATAGTTGACAATATTTTTAATTTACAGGATAGCAATTTGTAATATGGATTGGGACAACATAAAAGCATCTGATTTAATGGTGCTGTTGAGTTCATTCTTACCAGCTGGTGGAATATTACACAGTGTTACAGTAAGTACGAATATTATAAGTGTTTTCTATAGTGTATCGAAACAAGACGTTGATCACATAGGCCAAAGACAGTGTTTTTTGTGTAGATCACCAAATGCATGAACCATAATTTAAGTTTTTAAATTAATAACTTTGACTTAATACCAACTGTTGCTGTTATTGCATCAACATATAACATAGTCTGTAATGTCCAAATCTGCCAACATATAATTTGATTTTAGATCTATCCATCTGAGTATGGTATAAAGAGAATTCAAGAGGAAGAAGTACGAGGTCCCATTGAGTTGACTGAGAACAAAAAAGATGATCCTCTTGATGAGGATGGTGGCAATGAAGAGGGTAATTTAACTATTATTAAATTATTTAAGTTACAAAACTTACTGTATTTTGACGTATGGGAGGCATAGTTGGCTCTAAGTCTTGTTACTATAAAATATTAAATGTAGGACTGCACATACATGTATTAAAAAGTAGTGGCTACTTATCTAGATTTAAGAGTTGTCAAACCATTGTTTTGTGACATATTTGACAGCACTCAAGACGAGATTGTGGCTTCAGATACGAATTAGAATATGACAGAAGGCTAAGATTGTTTTAACTAAGGGTAAATTTATACTGCAGCAGAGTCAAAGTGTTGATCCAAAACTGAACAAAACAAATTCAAACTTAACTCCACAGCGTAACGCACACATTATTTTGAGATTTCAAAAACACGCACGAATTCTTCGAAATGCCCGCGTCTGCGCGTGACCAACGCTGTATGCTGCTCGCGCATTCTCGCGAATTCACGCACAAACCTACGCGTCATCAGTCTGAAGTTGGCCTGCGTCAGCGTTGATCACTATGCATTGGGACGAAATATTATATTACCTGGTGGAAAAGTATGAATACCTATTTAATCCATAAGCCAAAAATGAACTGGCAAAAATCAATAGCGATACTGTTTATGCCCATTAGGGAGCGTTCAAGTATTACTTAACGAATTTTTTTCCTCTTGTAAAGAGTTACGATGCGGGGCGGGGATTAAATTACGCGTTATTGTTAATATTATTTTCGACTTTCCAGTACTTTACACCACATAATGGTAACTTTTAGGTATAAAGAGTCACTGGGTGGTCACGAACCGTTTTACTGTAGGTGCGCGTGACATGGGGGGGGGGTCAAAAATGTCCAAAAATTGCGTGACGTAATACTAGAACGCTCCCTTACTACACCTAGAAGAGTGCGCGTTTTCTCGCGAATCCGTGCATTCGTGCGGCTTCGCTTTCGTTGTGAAGAATTTGACGCTTCGATGCGCTTCGACTCTGCGCTAGTATAAATTGACCCTAAGGATTAATCATCTACTTGTCATTTGCTGATGGTATGCGACCTATGTAGTGTTATAGTAATTATTATAATTTTATATGCATTTTTTAATTCAAGGCTCCGCGTATCACATGGAAAAGCTGCGACGATACCAACTCAATAGGCTGAAGTATTTCTATGCGGTGGCGGAGTTCGATTCCGCGACGACTGCAGACAAAATTTACTCTGACTGTGATGGCATTGAGTACGAAAGCAGTGCTACTAAGCTGGATATGCGTTTTGTTCCCGATGACGTCACGTTTGATCAGGTAATTTTAGGCTAGCTTTACAAGTGGCAAGTTCAAACATCCCCAATGGAAACTTATTGAAATTATTTTGTCGAAAATGATGGATATCTTTTCGGCCTGCGAGATTTAAACGCGACACCTACCTTCAGATCACCATGATAACGACAAGACTACAGATTCGATTTTGTTAATATTGCGCTGGATTAGTGATTTTTTTTTATTTAGCTATTAATTTTTTTGAATTTAGGAATACAGCAGCACAAGGAGTCGCTCTGTAACAGTTAAAAGTTACTAAAAATAGATTTTATTAATTAAATATACATACTTGATTTGAATGAAACACATTTACCACCAAACATGTTACAACGCAACAATACATACAAAGTTTAATCTATATTTAACCTAATAGTTACAATCTGTATATTTATAAATGATCTGTGCGTGTGTTTGTTATTAAATTACTAAGTTTAGATTTACAATTTTTTTTTTGTATTTATGTGTGTATGTATATGCATATAATAAAACATTGTATACAACAGGTAGAGTGTATAGTGAGAATATGAGAAATTACATTCATGTGCTAGGCCGCGTGTTTTATTAATTTTATTATCATATTTAGTCCTTGAATAGTAAGACACACATTGATTTAATAAAAACGTATTTCACAGGAGCCTCGCGAAGTATGCACAAAGCTTCCCGACCTGACCAAATACAAGCCGCGCCTGTTCACCACGACAGCTTTGCAGCAAGCCAAAGTGGAACTAACGTGGGACGCGACCAACCCCAACAGGGCGGAGACTATCAAATGTGCTCTAAATGGAAAGATTGATGACCTAGATTTGAAGGAGTATCTGGCTTCCAGCAGTGAAGGTAATATTAATATAAAAATAATATAGTAATTTTTGGATATACTACTGAAAATAACTAGAGATTGCAAGCCATGTTATATGTCAGTGTCATAGACTAAAAATTTTAATAAGTTTTCGTGGTAGTTGGATTTGGCACATGAAAATAGCTTAGGTCTATTTTGTTTGGTAGAATTATTAAAATATTTCATAGTTTTTTGGTGTGTAATTTAAAGCTTTTTAATTTATATTTATAATACTTTTGAATCGGCTGAATGTGTTCAATGTTTGTTCAGACGTCATCTTATTTTTATACTTAAATACATAGATGAGAAATAGTTTTTCCTATTAGAACCTCATAATATACAATATCTATAAATAACGCTTCGAAATCGGAAAATTTCTCGGAATTCACTTCCTAAACAATTTAATTTTAAACAGATGAAAATTCAGAAGACGACGCCGTACCGCAGCCAGAGAGTGAAACGGATGATCCTATTCAAAAGTACAAAATGCTTCTAGAAGATATCGAGAAGAAGGAAGACAAAAAACAAAATAAAGACATGGAAATGGAGATCACGTGGGGACTTGGACTAAAGGACAAGGCTGAGGAACTGGTCAAAAAGAAGATGTCTGAAGGTAATGTATTTAAAGTGAAGCCATTTGAATTACTTTATACATCAGTTTGCACTATTTCGGTCGCAGCTCGATATAATACAGAATAATACTTGATAAATTTAATATTCAAACAAAGAATTTTTTATTTGAATCAGTATTTGAGTGTTTTCCCAAAGTCTAGTTTTGCATTTTAATATATTTTATGTCTAAAAGTCAAAATAAGTAAATCACTGTTTGCAAAATTGGTTAGTTTTTTTCTTAATTTTCTAATGTGTATTGTATAATGCAACAATATGCTATTTGGCCAGATATTTAAAACTATTTTGGATTAGTTATTATTACTATAATACAAGTTTAAATTAAATCATTCATAATTTCAAGAACTGCCCAAAACTGGCATTCTCCAGTTCATATAACGTACCATGCTTGTAAACACAACAAACTTCTAAATTTTTCCTTTTTTTATGATATTTTATTAATTACTGTCCTTCAAATTAATTACGTCGCAGACTGTAACGAAGATATATTATTTACAAGAATCAGAAACTTTTGTGTCACGTAACTTAAGTTAAATATCTATATATAGTATTTAACTTACAGGTTAAATACTGTTTGTATTTTATATACTTTTGAAATTTTCAGAAAATAAAGATTTGACACCATTCGAGAAGTTACTGCAAAAGCGTAAAGAAAAGAAGAAACAACGTAAATTGAATCAGAAAAAAGTAAGCGAAGAAGAAAAACCTGACGATGAACCTGATGATATCCCGTCTGACGTCGATATGAATGATCCCTATTTCGCAGAAGAATTTAATAAGCCCGAGTTTAAGAAATCTAAAGATAAAAAGAAAGTTTTGGAAAGCGAAGAATCTGAGGACGAACGTAATAAAGCAGAATTAGAGTTACTGCTAGACGAAGATGATGGTAAAAGACATTTCAGTCTAAAGAAGATTCAAGAATCGGAGATCACGTCCAAAAAGTCAAAACGTAAGAAGAAACTAAAAGAGAAAATGAAAGAACAGAAAGAAACAGTTTCTGATTTCGATATAGATTTGAACGATAAACGATTCGCGGCTCTATATGAGTCACACCACTATAACATAGATCCCAGTGATCCTAATTTCAAAAAGACTAAAAATATGGAAAAACTCATACATGAAAAGTTAAAGCGAAGACCAGCTGATTTGCCCGATTCTACAGAACCCAAAAGATCTAAGGAAGACATCGAATTGAATTTACTTGTTAAAAATATTAAAAGGAAAACAAAAGGTGTTTTAAAGAATAAATAGAAATTGATTTTTTAAATATGTATCGTTAAATAAAATATTGTTCTTAACTTTGATGTTTTGCTAAGTGATTTTCCTTTCCTTACTATTTTTTCTTGCAATTCAAATTAAAATTTATTTGTCATCTTTAAATAAATTAAAAATTATATAATACAAATAAAAATATTCTTAGAAAGAGCTCGACTGCTAGCTTGCATGCTTGGCGAAGCTATCACAAAATTCGTTCTCAGCTCTTAGGTTAAAGTTGCTCTTAGTTTGGAACAAAATATGCCTTGTTAATTTTATAGAATAATACAATCTAAAAAATAGTTAATTACATTTGAAAACCACTGGTTTGTATTCATGTAACAATACTTGTGAGGAGCGCACTTTTTTTACAGGTTTTATCACTTAGCACATTGCTAGAAGGCTCGTAAGCGCGTTGCCGGCCTTTAAAAAAAAAGTACTTAATACAAAGGTTAAAATAAAAGAACAGAGTACTTCATCAACAAAATTTAATGAAAAGCAAAAGAAGGTCCAATATCATGATATTAAAGCTTTTCTGATCTCCCTTCCTACCGCAGCACCGAGTGGAGGAGGGACGGCGTTACCCACCTGGAAAAACATTTCCAATCTTACTTTTTATTTTTATAAGTTAATACAAAATTCACCATGTTTCTAAAATTATGGTCTCTAGTCTATTCATCTGCTAGAAGCCATCTAGTATTCTATTGTTTATGGAGTGAACATTAATATAATTGGGAATAAATTACTATTATAAATTTAATTTAATTAAGTAATAAAGACTTCTGACTGTGATATATAAGTGTAAAATTGAATGTATAAAGAAATTATATGTTAAATACAATTAGGAATTTGGTTATTAATATATTAATACGTATTGACAAGCGAGCAAGGTTGATTATAGAAAGTGACACCACCTATAAGGGAACAAACAAATGTTGCCAGTTTAAATTATTATTTTCTAACTTATATATTGCGATCTAAATTTAACAAATACCTGTCGATGTTTGTCCTGTATTGACCCTGCGAAGAGATATGTGTCCGGGAATCCCTGTGACCTAGCACACTCTCTGACCGAGACAACTCTGTTTTGCTCGGGATGTAGGACCCGCCCTTGTTTCCCCATTGGCTCTGGGTCTGTCACTGTCGTACTGAAGTAACCGTCCCATGATATACGACCTGAAATTATTATTTATTAATAGAAAATACATTCTTGGAACACTTTGATAATACTATCAAATAGCGAAGTATCGCGACTACAAGAGGCCTGCGTTCGTAGTTCGTACTGTACAATACCTAATATGACAAAGTTAACATAATCTGTGAGGAAAGAGAACCGTCGAGGGATATGATTTGATTTTGCTGCGGTGCTAATTCGCCGCCTTTGTTGACAACACTGTTGTCATTATAGTTCGATTGTACTTGATACTTAATATGAAACAAAACAAAATAATTTAAGTTTTTCGTAGCAAATAAGAATTATATTAGTTCGCATAAATGCTACGCCGGTTCGATCGCTACTGACTACGAATAAAATTTGTATGGATTTTTTTTATAGACTACAAAAATCTCTCAATGCTCGCAAGTGCGTTGCCGGCCGAGGTCGAGGTGAGGCGGAGGGTATTTTGTATTCTTTATTAGCCTTCACATCCGATAATGAAACTCAGCTGCAGGTATTAGTCCGAACACTCTCCATGGTAAATGCGGTAGAAGATGCAGAAAATTTAAAATCATGGTCGTAATCAAAGCCCCAACACATTTTTTGTTAACATAATAGTCTCGTTCCCCAGTATGTTATTGTAACTTGCGCGTTTCAATCTTAAATTAATCACCAAGTGCCAAAAAAAAATACGGCTTAACTGCTCATACTGTTCACGATGAGCCTCGCCTTGCCAAGTGAAGTGCCGAAAATAAAAAGGTATACCGTAAAGCCCAGCCCAGTTATTGTGCCGATTAGCGGTGTGAGGAAGACACCAAGGTATGAGAGTGCATTCCTGTTTGTCCGCTGCGCTGCAGGTCCCGCCCTTTGCGCACGCGCATACCCCACGGAGGCCACCGGTCGACGAACGGCCGTTCTTGGCGTCTTCGTACCGGTATTGAAGAACCTGATTAAATTAAATAATTATTTACATTGATTCTAATGTTAAAACTATACACAATGGATATGTTTATATCCACAGACAGACGATATCAGACTCCAGTCAAATAATTGATTTTTAGAACTATTAAGAGATATTTTTTCCTGAATATATTCTATATGTGGAAAGAAAGCATTCATTTATTTAAATAATACTTTTCAAGCAAAATCAAATAATTTGAATTTATGATTGATTCATAAACAAACAAATCCTACGTATTTTAGGTACTTACTTATGAACGTCAACAGAAAAGATGTTAAATTGATTCTAAATTTACAATTACTACCAGTTAGCAAGTCAAGAGCGTAGAGCGGGCAAGAAGAACTGGCAAGAAACTCTCCGCCACTCTTTTTAATCGCCAAGTTTTGAGTCATACAAATTGTTTGTAAGCAGCAATAAATATTTTAACTGGAGCAAATCAATCCCAAGGATTAGGATCATTTAATTTCAAAACTTATTAGTTAGAAAAGTTTTTAACGAAAATCTCCAGTAATACTACTTAGGCGTATTTGGAAAGAAATAATCAAAATCTATTATTTAAATGCTGTGCTAATGTTCTTATAATGTTTATATGCATTAAATACGATCGGACCTTACGTTGTGGAAATCCAAGTTATAATCCAAGCATTTAATATGATAATATTAAAGCCAATTTGTTGGCCTGATTTTCATGCATAACATTTGAGACAAAAAAACGACGGGTTGCACTCCGGGAGTGCCCGGCAGAAGTGAAAACTTGAATATTAACATTGTGCAATTTTGATATTTTGGAATGGTTAGGGAATAATTTTGCACGAATTGCTTTAATTACCAGTATAAAAGTACTATCATTTATGTGGTAGAATACAATATTTATTAATTGCGCTGTCATACACAAACATGACAATTTATATTACATTAAATTATTACTTACGAATATTCGATCAGGTCACGTGTCCTGACGCGAGTTTAACATTTTTTACCCATTCCAAAAAAGTGTACAACGCCGCTAAAGAAGTTTTCACTTCAAATATATACTTTTGAAAGTTCAGTTGGAAAAATAATAACTCACCTTGCACCTAGTTCCGTCCGACAAAGTGACAGAAATGTTGGGAAGATCCCGCCAGTCCGATCCAGGCGTGTTCGGGATCCGGGATATCCGAGCCTGAATCAAAGGCGCCATGTTCTTGCATATGTGATCTCGTAACCTCGCATTCTCGTCCTTACTTCTCACCAAGCGTTGGAAATAACTCTCAGGCATTGACCCGTAATCTATTTCTATTTTATTTGCTCCGTTGCATATCTGGGGCAGGTCGCTCATGGCGTCCTTTATCGTACAGGTCCGCCTCGGAGCTGAATCATCCCACTGTATGTTGGATGCGAAACGCTTTCCGTCTATCGTCGTAGTGAGAGTGCAGGCCCGTCGGCTAAACACGTGCGTCGGCTCCGGGTATAAAGGCAACTTACACCCGGGCGCCGCGGCCAGTATTATGAGCCTTCGTCTCGTCTGAGGTACCCCGTAATTCCCAGCCTGGAGCACCCCAAACGTGCACTGATAACCCATATCCAACAACGCTCTGAGGGTCAATTTCAACACCATCCCCTTTTTGAACGCAACGAAGTTCCTGACATTCTCGAGTATGAAGTATTTCGGGCGGTAATAATCGCAATACGAGAGGTAGGACGCGACGAGAGAGTTTTTGAAATTTGAGTACTCTCTGGAGTTGAATCTATTCATGCCCGAGAACCCTTGGCACGGTGGTCCGCCGCACAACAGTTCCACTTCACCCTTCAACGGCAGTCTCAGCCCACGGGAGCTATGTGTGGCGCCGGACATCACGTCTTTGAGCAAAACGTTACAGTCCTCATTAAACACTGTGCAGTCTTTATTGTTGAGGGAGTAGGCGTGCGCGGCCGCTTCGACGTTCTCTATGGCCCAATTGCAGACCGCGACCCCGGAGCGGTGGAGCCCCTCCGATAGGCCGCCGCAACCGGCGAACACGTCTAGCGTCCTCAGAGGACGCACCTTCACTTCCTCGGGCTTAACGACGCGCAATTCGGGCTTGCTGGACTTTCCTTTGCCCTTCCCCTTGTCCTTGCCTTTACTCGGCCCGATGAGTCGAGCGTACTGCGGGACGTCTCTGATCTCCCCAGATTTCTTGTCGTACGACATTCTAAAGTAAATCCGGCCAGGGTCCTGTTCCAGCCAGGTGTAAATTGAATCCGTTTGCGGTACGTTATCTATGTAAGATAAAGTACAGGGACCGACGACACAGGAGAAAGGCACTTCTCGTATTTCTTCGCTCCAGTAGACGAGGTTGAGGTCTTCGTGCTGCGGGTATTTGCTGTTTGTGTTTTCGGGCCTATACAGGACGTTGACCTTGACGTAGATGTCTTGCGGAGCGACGAGAGGGCCTTCGCCGGCGGCGGTTACGGCGACGACGTGTCCGATGCAGAACGGTTCGTTCGTGTCGATGTTCGATCCCCGCAAATTATTGTCGCTCTTACGATAGTACTCTGGGTAGATATCTTCGTCTACGGTTTCCAATTTTAATTTTACGTCATCACGTTTGTGATTGAGACCGTTTTTTAGTTTGAATGTGCCCGGCTTCAAGAACACTCCGCATCCCTTTTTGTATTCGTAGTCTTGCCATTTCACGAGAGTCCACTCGGAGCGGGTCTCCTCTTTCACGTTGTCAGATTTTTCCGTTAACTTTCCTGTCACTTTTGGGATGTCCTTCACTTCACGTTTCGTTTTTCTTTCACAGGAAGGGCAGAATCTGTGTTTTCTCAATGCGTTCGGGCATACAGGGTCCGGGGGAATATCTTGGAATCGAGCGGTGAACCTTTCGTAATATTTGCTGTAAAAGTACGTTTTCCCGTCGTCTTCGTGGAAATCTTGTTCGACGTCATTCCCGCCTCTATTGCTCCAATCGTCGGGAATAGTGGTCTGATTCACAATGGCTTTTCTAAGAATTGATGACAAGGGAGCACCGTGACAACAACGGTTTTCGAGAAAAACTTCTCTTGGATCTGTAAAGACATGAGGACATAATATTATGTTTCAACTACTTGAACAGATAAAAGACTATACTTTCAGTTTCAACTATCCTCCGTGTCTAGGCTGGAGCATGTGTTATAAGTTAGGAATACAACAAATTATAGGTCTACCAGGATCTGATGGCAAAAAGGGAAAAAAGAAATTGACGCTAGCAATACTGGGGAAATTGGAGTAAAACGTTTTGATACTTTTTTTTCCTTATAGCGGCTGATTCTGTGTGTGATATATGCAAAATATATAAAAATTTATCCAATGATAATTTTTGAAAATGTGGCGAATGTGGGGTTTGAAATTTAGATGAAAACTCCAATTACTCTGTTCATGAGTTTATTAATTAATTAAGAACTTTAAAATGGTTCCAAATACTGCACATCCATAAAAAAGTCTTCAACGCAGTATTTATAATAAACCTTTCCTCCTGCATCTCAATTAACCGATCTTGTTCTATGAACTTATTTTAAATTTTTATTACATGTTCACAAGATTTTCGCTATTCATCGATCCCTATTTGAGAGAAAGAAACAATGTAAAACTCATTTATCTTGTTTCTGATCAATTCTAAATCAAAACTATCCAAGTTTATTTGTGGTATAAGAAACCCCTGAAATAAACCAAAATTTAGTATAAGTACATAATATAATACACACGAAGAATCCCATAAACCAAAGTATCAAGACGTGTCATTCCTACTAACCAGTCAACGCTTGCACATGGCTCAATATCGATGATTGTGTATGTTCTGCATCTTGTTGATCAAGTATTCTTTGATAAACATTGAAAACAATATGTCTTGCTTGCGATCGAAGAGGTTTCTTCGACATTTTCATCACTTTTTAAAGGAAATTTGAAGCCAAACCAAAAACAATTCCTCGAAATTTCAGTTGACAGATGAAATTTTTCTTTTATTGCCATATGAAAATCGCTAATTTAAAAAAAAAAAAATTGCCATCAGATTCTGGTAGACCTATACATAAGGGAGCGTTCAATTATTACGTCACGTAATTTTTTTTATTGACCCCCTCCCCTGTAACGCGCCGTAACATTTTCTATACCTAATAGTAAAACGTTTCGTGACCACCCAGTGACTCTGGTGTAAAGCACTGGAAAGTCGAAAATAATATCAACAATCCCGCGTAATTCAATCCCCGCCCCGCATCGTAACGTTACAAAAGGATCCCCCCAACATTCATAACGTAATACTTGAACGCTTCCTAACATAAATAAAAAAATACCTCCAACTTCTCCTAAAACAGTATCAGACGCTCGAATAAACACTTCAGCATGGAAGAAACCGACGCTAGGATTGTTTGTATCCTTCCACATATACACAATTCGTGAGACTAAAGCCGGTACATTAGCTTGAGTCGTCTCAACCATAACGAATTCTCCTATTGTGAACTCTTCCCCGTCAATTTCTACTTTTTCATAGTAAATTTTAGTGGCATCTGTCTTTATGGGTTCTCCAATCCAAGTAATTTTTCTGTAAGCTCCGGTTAGTTTCACCGGTACGGCATCTTCAATCTTGCTTTTTAATTTGTCAGTCACTTGAGGGCCGTCGTCATCTTCATCAGGATCTGAATCGTCTGCTTGTTGAACGGCCATGTTGGGACAGCGACGTCTATAATTTTTATTATTAAACTAACCTCCTTACTCATAACTAAATAAGTCTGATTTTACTCCCCTTTCAGTCAAATTGTTTTTACGATGTGATGTAGAGAGACAGACGATTCATGCAATTCGACTCATTTATTTCTTATGAATAAGGGGTTAGCCTGAAAATCCTTTATCTACCAAAGTAAAATTAAAATTGGTTTCCTGATAATAATAATGACATACTAAATTGTCTGAGTTTACAGCCTAGCATCCTGCTCGAAAAGCCAAGAAGCTCAGTAAGATTTTATATAGTCTATGTTGAAAAATTTTAACAATCAATATACACTATATTTAAATTGTTCATGTTTATTAAACATACTTTATACATTTAACGGACTAAACTGTCGTAATATAATTAATAATATTAAAATGAAATATACCACAAAAACCTTAAAAGCACCTAATAATTTTTTTATTAATTTGAAACAATAATTTTTTTTTATAGAACGGCAAACGGGTAGGAAGTTTATCTGATGTTAAGTGATACCGCCGCCCATGGACAATATCAATGTCTCAATGCCAGAGGGCTCACGAGTGCGTTGCCGGTCCTTAAGATAATTTGTATATTTTTTTTTTTGGAAAAAAAATGTGATTTTCGCCAACGCGTACAATTAAACTGGAGGAATTTCTAAAGTCAAAGTCAAACTAAAATCGTATAATTCAGGGTTATGTTTTAGTTGAACTAGAAACTAGCCTGGTTCTAGTCTAATATTTTAAAAGTCATAATTTTTAAACATTGTCTAATTATTATTTAGATCTTTTTTATAAAATAATAAAGTAACTTTATAAACAGATCTGTTGTGTGCCCAACAATGAAGATAATGAAAAATCCATAAATGATAACAAAATACCATATTAATTTAAATTATTGGGCATTTACCAGTAATTATTTGACTTTATAAATGTAACAACTGAATTTTAATGTTTTCATTTTACCTTATACAGGCTTGCTTTGTCCGCCCGTGTCCTCCGAATTTAAGCATGGCTCTGCAATGATTGCACTCCCCGCAGTCTGGAAGCTGACAGGCTTCACAAACGCCACATCTTTTCCGTCTCAATACTAATTCATAATTGGTTTTGTCCAACTGGTTTGAGAAGAAACTCTCAAATGTCTTTTGAACCAACGGTGTAGTAGTAGCTTTAGTCCATGCCTTTTTATCTACCTTCTTGTAATCTATTTTAGCTCGAATTCTCCTTTTTCCAAATTTAATTCCCATTAACTTTACTAACTCCCTCATACAAGGTAATGTAATCAGTGGTTCACTGTCTTCGTCAGTCTCTAAGCTAACCACTTGATCACATACAAATTGTGCATGTTTGTGTAACATTTCTTCCGACATCATTAAATCGTTTAAATCAGGAATTTTGGATTGGCGAACCACAGATAACAAATCCTCATACGCCGGCTGCATGTAATCATTTTCTTCAATATACTCTATTACAACCTTGCTCAACCAGATCTTTTCATATAAGTTATTCATTAAAGGCATATATTCATTGCTGGGCCTAAGCAAATTATATTCACCAAATTCAGTTGATAAAGTCACACAGTTTCTACTACCGCCATCAAAACCATGAATAAACCTGAAATTAAATATTATATTGTTTTATAAAATGTCTAGTTTGTAAAGATCAGGTCAATAATAGAGCTGAAGCTATAATTTTAAATTGTCTCACATATGCAAAATGAATTAATCACCAAATCAATCCCCTATGAATACTCTTAGCACTCCTCTAATTAATACCATATATATATAGCCTCAGTTTAAATATGAATGCTTTGTCCTCATAACCCAGTCACTTAAAATAATTAAATAGGGTAAGATCTGACTTAAGGTCTTTAGTATGTTTATGAAAAAGACTGTAAAGAGTCTGTTACAGTATTTTTACTATTAAGAACATTAATTTCATTGACAAACAATTAATGAATATCAAACAATACGTCCGTCGTTCCACAAGAGAGCGTTTTCTAAGGCAGTTTTTGCCACGCACCACCACTATGTGGAACCAGCTGCCCACAGAAGTATTTCCGAACCAATTCGACTTAGGGTCCTTCAAGAAAAGAGCGTACCAACTCTTGAAAGGCCGGCAACGCACTTGCGAGCCTTCTGGCATTGTGAGTGTCCATGGGCGGCGGTATCACTTAACATCAGGTGAGCCTCCTGCCCGTTTGCCTCCTATTACATTAAAAAAAAAAATGGGGGCTTTTTTGATTTATTATTGTTTAATCACCATTCAATAATAGGTCCAATGTCTTTAACTGGAATGCAATCTTCATCAATATCAGGGCAATCTGAACATATAGACTTTAAGTATCCAGACATATAAATGCGTACATCACTTTCAACAAGACCTCCATCAATGGGCACTAGGTGACCATGTTGATCAAATATTGAAAATCCTGTTATGTTTGTTTGTGGACGTTCCATTATATCTCCTTCTTCACCTGAACAGGTAATAAGTTTTAAAACCGTACATGCCTTATACATAATACTAACAAAAACCACAGATTATGTTTTTTTAAAAAATAGCCAACATTCATAAAAGGCTTAAATTATCAAAGTTAGAATTGTAATATTTGTAAAGAACTAAAAGACATATGACAAATAAACCAAATTAAGCTCTAGAATTTCTGAATGAGATACAAGAAATTAAAGCCAGGACCAGTTTATAAACCATCTATAATATTTGTAATATTATGAATTATACTAACCAGAGATAAGGAGTAATTTTTCATTGGTCAGTGCAACAAATTCTTCCACAGCATTTTGTGGGTGTCCTTGATAATAAATTATGTCAGAATTATTAAGGAATTGTCCACAAATATCACATTTTTCCATATCTGGATCTTTTCTCTTTTCATTGTCAGATTTAGGGGTTTCATATTCACTTTCTGTTTTATTAACACTAAAATTTTGGTTTTCATCTGTTCTTTCAACGGTTTCATGAGTAACACTGACATTTATTAAAGCTTTATTTTTAATTTCATTATCACATATTTCATTTTCATCCGACAACGAATTTGGGCTATCTGGTAAATATGAACTAAAATCTGTTGATTCGTTCCGTTTTAACTTTTTCTAAAAAACGAAATATCATAGTCATTACTATTATAATAATTACTTAGTGCACATAGGAAAACTTACATGAACCTACTTACATTTTCAGAATCACAGTCAGGAGATCTGGCTCTTTTTTTTACAAACATAGTAGTTATTTTCGGTTGCTGACTAGTCATTGCAATACGTCTTGATCTGCATATGATAAATATAATATAAAGAAGTAATCAACAATGTGTTAGAGAAAGTATACACACTTCTAACACTTTTAAAAATTTAACAAAGTATTATATACTTTAAGCGAAGCTTTGTTAATACTTAAAATGTTAAGGTTTGAATTTAACATAAAGCAATCGACATGTTTACAAAAATATATTTTTTAAATCTTTAATAATATAAAGTATTTTAAACAACTTACGTAGCGCACCTTTTAGCCAAAATATATTTTTTGCAAACTCTGCGTCATTTGATAATACAAAATTTACGTTATTAAAATAATAATAATGATTAAAACGCGCGAAACAAGTTACACCTACTAGTATATTATATTAGTCTTTGGTTAGAATTAATACTTCAACACTCAACAGTCAACTTTCAAGAAACGGCAAAAAGTAAAAACATAAAATCACAGACAGAAATTTTTATTTGTATTTTTGACATTTCTGTGTTCAACTAGAAATTCATTGTCTTTGGTTCTACTTTTTTTTTTTTTAATGGCTCTGGCACGGTTTGTGCATTAGCCAGCGTCAAGTATAAGATTTTTTATAATTCGTGTTTTCCTTAGAACTTCCACCGTGTTCTCCATGTAGGGTTTAGGCACTCGCCCGGTACCGCACAACCCTCCCAAAGGCCGAGAACAAATTTAAATTAAATTAAAACTTGCCCTCGAACCGGGAATCGAACCCGGTACCCCTCACCTAGCAGCAACTAAGACCGCTAGGCTATGAGGCCCTTTTTGGTTCTATAGTCCTTTTCATGAAAGAAGTCCCCCAGACGCGGCGCTGCAATCGCATGACGTAATATTGCCATTTATGAGTAAAAAATTTACCTATTTTATTTACATTACATTTAGCAGATGTAATTATCAAATAATATTATTTTCTGCATACTTCGATCAAAGAATATTCTGTTATGTAAAAAGTATATTTTTATTTACTTATATTAGTGGTGTTATACCTACATACAGGGAAAAGATGAGAAAATAGGGTAAAGAAAAGCAATACAATTTTTTATTCAGTTTTATTGCATGATTGTTGGATTACAATTTTTTTCGAAGTACACGCCGCTGTTATAACTTCGTTTGTAATTCTTGTTACAGTTTTCTCTGACACACCTGAAATTAAATTATGAACAATAAAAAATAATAATAACTTTAAGTTTATAATGCTTATGTAATATGTAATATATGTTTTAATTTCAGTTACCTAGTTTCATCACGTTATGTTTTTGTTCAATTTTGTCGCAAAAACGACTTTATATCATAAAAGTCCCATCAATACAGCAAAAAATTATTAAATGGCCACTCTAAAAAGTACCTGTTATGGCGGCAACTCTCTTCTGAACATTGTTTAGTGGTATTAAAACATCTTGATTCTTATGTTCCGCTTCACAGAACTCTTTCACCTTTAATATTATTTCTCGAGCCGAACTTTTTACAACTTTTGCCATTGTAATCAATCTTTAAAATGCACTAATCTAGTTAAAAATTCACAAAAATCTATCACAACAAACGAACTTGATAACATCGACGAATGACAACATTGCCGACCTGTCATATTTAGTTCCAAAAATCACCGCGGGACTTCTTTCATGAAAAGCACTATACTTAAGGTACGCGTACATTGGCCGGCGCCGGCCGCGCCGCACGCACGGCACGCAACGGATTAAACGGATTTGCCGGTGGCATGCGTCCACTGTGTCCGGATTTTAAATTTAGTTTCGAGTGTTTTCTTGTCGTTAGTTGACGTGTGTTTGACGTCTTCAGTTATGGAGATTGATGAAGATATTATTATTATTAGTTGCTTGTTGGAAGATGAAGAAGAACATAAAACTAAACATAGAATGTGGGTTCATGAAATAAATTTGAAGCGATATATCGATCCAATCTCCTCCCAAATGTTCTCTCTTCTTTGCAAATTAGAATGTTGTGGATGTTTTAAATTGTATAATTCTTCATATCTTTCAACCAATATTATCAAGAGTGCGTCATCCATGGTATTATTTTTTTTCTCTTTTCCTTCCCAACACGTGCGTCCCAGGACCTGCCAGCGGCGAACTGATTTTTGTGACGTCACCGGCACGCAACGCATTATTTGCTCCTAAAATGCTGGCGCGCGGTGCGTGCTGTTAGAAGGATCCCAGTGATTGGGTTTTTAAAAAAAAAGGAAAAATGAGTTCACGATACAATCGAACTTTTATTGGAATATTAATTAATTATACGAACAGAATAAAATGAAAACCAATAAATGTGTTTCCGCGACGAAGGATGATACCGAACTAATTTCATCATTTAGTTATTGTTTCAACTCTCGATGGGAAATGCTGACTAGACAAAAGATATTAGTGTGTCAGCCAGATAGGGTACAAGGCTATGATATAACAACCCCCCCGTTTAAGAGTAAACTTACGGTTTTAGGTAAGTTTGCGAAAAGGGAAAAGGGTAAGATAGTTATTCCATACGGAGACGAGGCTGAGGATGTGGGGTTTCACTGGTTGAAGAGGTATTATCTGGATTTTCTATGTCTTTGTTTGGAAATACGCATTTATTGGCTTTTACAAAGATTATAATTGCAATACTTAAGATTATTAAAAAGGAAACTATGCTAAAGCTAAAACTAACATAGTCTGAAGGGTCATTAAGGAAATCATCTGAATCATCATCAATTGACTTAATAGGTAAATCGTCAATTAAATTTAAACTATCAAGATTCACATGTCGTAACTGGTGCGTTGAAATATTAATATTTACTTTGGAAAATTCCATCAAATTACAACAACTGTCATTAATAATGTTAAAATTTGAAACAACAGGACTTATGGTAATTTCATAAACACTTTTTGCTTCAAATCTATTTTCTTTACAAAATGCGGTACAACCGGATGACAAGGTAAGTATTCCGGTTCCTGATATAACAATGTCAATTATTCTATGATTACATTCAATAGTCAGTTTCTCATCATTAGATTCAACATAGAACCATTTGTTATTATTTAATTTGTGCCAGATATCAATTTTACCGAATATAAATTTTGTAGTACAAGTTTTAGGTAAATTTTCAACAGCTTTGGTGATTATTTCCGTTTCACATATTGGATAATTAACAACACTGAGAATATTCAAAGGGTTACAAATATACTGATGTCCAATTATTAAATTACAAGAATCTATATTATCAAAATTAAAATATAATTTCTTATCTTCACTAATGCCTATAAAAGGTTTCGTTGCAGTAATAAGTGCAAATGAATTTGGAGATGTCGGGTTATGTGGTACAGGGATAGGTATAACTTTATAAAGATTGTATGTTTCTACATTTACAAGAGGAATTTTTATTACAAATACTAGATGATTTTCGATAACATATGAAACTACTTTAGCGAGGTTCATTAGGATATTGATATTATCTAAATTTAACTCTACAGGGAAATCCTTAAGTCTAGATACATCTTTAATATTACTTACTAAATCTATGTATAATTGCTTAGGAGTAATAATTGAAGGATGAATAGTGTTTGATTTTGAAAACAATACACTGCTTACAATATCTTCAATTTTGAATGAAAGTGTTAATAGGCTAGCTTGTAACACACTCAAGATTTCATCCATGTTTGTTTGCAACTTGACAGAGTTGGTGACCTCAGAAACGTTTTTGACGGAAAGAGATAATTTATCGATAACATCGTTCAGTAGGATTTGATTCTTATTGAGTTCATTCATGGAAGCATTAAAGTTTGTGATTGCGGATTTAGAAATATAGATGCTTTGTTTAAGATTTGAATTAAGATCTTTATCTATTTGTTGCATTTTAGCAATTGCTTTATTATATCTATGTGCGTCATCTTCATTTAAAGTTCTGGATTTAGTCTTCAGGAGATTTTCATTGTGTTCTTTAATGTGAGTTGTAAAGGTTGTATCATTTTTGGAAAATGCTTTTAAGAACGTGTTGTAATCATGGTTGGATGAAGGAATTGTGTCAGGAGGAGAACCGTCAGAATGAGAGTTACTGGGAGTCAATAATTCAGAAGGAATTGAATTATCTTGTAGGTTTGGGGAGTGTAAGTCTCCTAATTGTATTAAGTCATCTAAAACTCGTTGTGCATCTATAGGAGATTCAGTATGCCGTTGATCTGGCATTGGATCAGGATTTTGTATTTCGGAAGGGATAATGGCATCTGGACTCAGGGGTTCAAAATCGACAAGATGATCAGGATTTAATGGGCTTATTTCATCAAGATTTAAAGGAGAGTCATCACTCTGTATAGGATTTACAGGATATCGTGATAAAGCGTCTGCCGCAGAATTTAGTTGACCTTTACGGTAGATTATATTATAGTCATATTCCGAGAGTTTAAGTCGCCAACGTTGTAACTTACTGCTAGGGTCTTTATGGTTCATGAGCCAGGCCAGTGGTCGATGATCAGTTATTATATTGAATTTGCGCCCATAAATATAAGGACGAAAGGTTTTGCAGCCAAAAAGTATTGCAAGGAGTTCTTTTTCTGTGGTGCTGTAGTTAGTCTCAGCTTTATTCAGAGTTCTAGAAGCATAAGCTATTGGTCTTTCTTGGCCTTTAGGTCCTTGAGAAAGAACAGAACCTATGGCATATTTAGAAGCATCGCAGGTTAAGGTAAATGGTAAGGAAAAATCTGGATATATTAGGACAGGAGCAGAAGTTAGTTTAAGTTTCAATTCGTCAAAAGCAATTCGTTGTTGGTTTTCCCAAATGAAAGAGACATCTTTTTTCAAAAGAGCAGTTAAAGGTTTGGCGATTTTGGAGAATTCCGGAATAAATCTTCGGTAATAGGACACAAGACCTAGAAAAGACTTAATATCTTTTGGAGTTTTTGGAATGGGGAATTGTGTCACAGATTTAATTTTGTCTGGGTTGGGTTTTACACCTTTATCGGAAATTACATGCCCTAGATAAATAACTTCACGTCTCAAGAACTCGCATTTATCTGGTTGAAGTTTAAGATTAAATTTTCTAAGACGTTGGAAAACTAACTCAAGGTTTGTTATGTGGCTAGGTAAGTCGTGAGAATATATGACAATGTCATCTAAGTACACAAAACAACGGATATCTTGAAGACCAGCGAGAGCTGTATTCATAAGACGTTGGAATGTAGCTGGCGCATTTTTAAGACCAAAAGGCATTCGAGTGAATTCAAAGTGCCCTTGAGGAACACTGAAAGCAGTTTTGGGTGTGTCATCTACCCTAATGGGAATTTGATGAAATCCAGAGGCCAAATCAAGAGTGGAGAAGTATTTGCTTTGTCCGAGTTGGTCTAAGATTTCGGAAATTTGAGGAATAGGATAGCTATCTCCAATAGTAATGTCGTTTAGTTTCCTGTAGTCAATAACTACACGCCATTTGCGATGTCCTGAAGCGTCAAGTTTTTTCGGGACCACCCAGATAGGAGACGACCACGGGGACATAGAAGGTTTAATGATGTCTTGCTCCAACATTTGGTCTATTTGTTTTGCTACTTCTTGTTTGTGAATTTCCGGAAAGCGGTATGATTTAACATGTATAGGATTTTGGGGTGTTGTATTTATTTCATGTTGGATGGCATCAGTATGAGATAGTTTATCTCCAGGAATATGAAAGATATCAGAATACTGAGAGCATATATCGTGAAGAGCGTTAGATTCCTCAGTATTAAGGTGATTCACTCTTAATTGATTCAATACTTCCTGAGTGCGAGTATAAGCGTCAGTATGTCGGGTATGGTGTAATGTAGAATTAAAGTTAACTGATTCATGAGTTATGTCATCAAAGTCTAAAGGGTTCAGTGTGATATCGAGATTTGATTTTAAAGTAACAGGAGATTCAGAGATATTCAAAACAGATATATTAATTCTTTTATTATTTTTAACTGAGACAAGGCAGTTAGCGAAAATTAAATCTTCGTGGAATTGTTGGTCTAGCACAAGACCTTCTTTTATGTTAGGATTGGATACTGAGGATTCAATAATTATTTCTGTACGAGGTGGAATCACATATACGGGGTTTTGAAAATCTATCTTAATTTTATGATTCTTTAGAGTTAATGAATTTTGGTTATAATCAATTATGCCTTCCAGGTCGTTGAGGAAATCGTTACCAATTATTGCATCATAGGGTAAGTTAACGTCATCTACAGCGTGAAAATCAAACATAATGTTTTGTTTATTGCTCAGGAAGAACTTTAATGGGAACTGGCCTAAAGTTTTGGTTGCTTCGCTGTTTGAGTTTATTCCTTTGAGTAAGATTTTGGGCGGTTCGAATAATTGTTCGATCTGGATGCAAGATTGTTTCATTAGGCTAACTGACGAGCCTGAATCGATTAGGAATTTGATTGGGATTTCAGAGACATTTGTCTGGAGTAATACATATGGTAAGGATCTCTTTATGGCATTGGATGTCACCTCGAACACAGTAGGTGTGTCTTTGGAGTTAGAGTTTGTGGATGTATTGGATACAGTGGAATTAGGAAGTCCAAACTTCGCGGCGGAAGTATAAGATTTAGTGGGACTTTTAGGTATAGTGGATACAGAGGATTTAGTCACAATATCGTCTCGTTGGTTAGTATGGCAACCATGTTGCGGAGCCTGTGGATTTGGATTACCCTGCGAGGATATTGGAGTTTTACGAAATTGACTACCATGTAGCGGAGTCAAGGAGTTGGATTTTTGTTTACAGGGTAAAGAAATGGGAATACTATAATTGACAACATTGTTATTATATGTTGTGCCGTATTTTATTCTCTGACCCGCACGGCACTGACGCGAATCAGGTTTCAGTTTAAATCATCGACAACTTCATCATTATTGGTATCTTCATAAGATATCGGATCTGCAAAGTTTACGTGGTTAGAACTACTGTTAGTTCGTGGTTGGAATGTACGTGGATTTTGATTTGTATTTTGGGATCTTTTATTATTAAATTCGCGCTTCCGGCAGTTTTCCAATACGTGCCCTTTAGCTTTACAGTATCGACAGAATAGTTGCTGTGCACTGCTTAAATTTACATTATTAGGAGCACGTTCATAAGTTGATGTTGTTTTGTTTAGATAGCGATCTCTAAATTGGTAGTTAGGGCGCGAATAATTAGTTTTGTTGGGCGGCCCTTGACTTTGAGGATTATTATATCTTTTCCGAGAAGCTTCCATTATTTTCTCCTCGGAAATTGCGAAGTTTATTGCGTCATTTAATGTTTCTGGGTCTCGACACCTGACGATAGTTGATATTTGGGGTTTTAGGCCAATGACAAAATGGTGCAGGGCTAAATCCTGCATAGCTGCAATTCGGCCAGCTAGTTCGCTTTTCTTCTTTTTTTGAGATAAATTTATTTCTGTTAACAATTTTGAAAGGCAAGATTCTATATGTAGTGCGAACTCGTTAACCGAATCATTATTTTGTGTGCAGTTTTGTAAGTCAGAGAGTAGTGCCGAATAGTGTTTTTTCTCTCCGAATTGAGTGGTGAGAAACTCGGAGAGTTGTTCCCACGATTCAAATTCTTTTATACTACACGCACTTTCGGCCTTACCCTCTAACTGACTTAATATATACTTAAGTAAAGCAGGACGTTTAGATTCTATGGCTAAATCATAAGCGTTATGACAATTATTTAGAAATGGGACTAATCTCTCCCTGGACCCATCGAAGGGTTTAATAAACTTAAATAGTACACTTAGGTCCATTCTGTCCTCGCTATCTTCTTTTTTCTGTACACGTCGCGAACTTGACTCGCTTTGTGTAGTCATAACAATATGTTCTTATCGCGCGTTGTGGAATGTAGGGATAGACGATAAGTTCGATTAAATGTTACAGTGAATAAAAATATATTTTATAACTCACAGGATACTGGAGAATAATAGTAGCTTCATTGGAATTTTATAAGGACTTATTCCGTCGGTGCTGGACTCAACAGTGGGTTGATCAAGGGAAACAACCCTGTGTCACTTACTGCACAGTGGACGGGAATTCGGTTGTCGCGGACACTTTTACACTTTCACTTTTCACTTTTGCACATATATGAGACGTTCCTAGGATTAATACAATCCCTTTACGCTGCCACCAATGTTAGAAGGATCCCAGTGATTGGGTTTTTAAAAAAAAAGGAAAAATGAGTTCACGATACAATCGAACTTTTATTGGAATATTAATTAATTATACGAACAGAATAAAATGAAAACCAATAAATGTGTTTCCGCGACGAAGGATGATACCGAACTAATTTCATCATTTAGTTATTGTTTCAACTCTCGATGGGAAATGCTGACTAGACAAAAGATATTAGTGTGTCAGCCAGATAGGGTACAAGGCTATGATATAACAGTGCGGTGCGGGTGGCGCGGATAGTGGACGCAGTCTCATATAAATTCATACAAAGCAAACTCAAATCCGTTGCGTGACGTGCGTGCGGCGCGGCCGGCGCCGGCCAATGTACGCGTACCTTTAATGTTAAACATTTACTCCACAGCATAAGTAGCACCACAGACTATACTGAACGTCCGTGGTTTTGATAGATACCATAAACGTTTGTCTATACTCATTGAATTGGAAAATCCCCGAATAAAAATGTTCAACTTCTACTTATAAATTTCGTCATTCATAATTCAATAATATTCATCACTAACAGAAAATTTCTATCAAGTGTTTATTTCAACTTTAATGCGTGTGCAATTGTTGCGTGAACTTTAAATTGGTAATACTAAATAAGTTGTGCTTATGAAAAGTTTTTAAATTATTTGGAAGGCATAAAAGTGAGTAGCTTTTTTTCATTGTTGCGTAGAGAGTTATAATTAGCTTAGTAGATCAATAGAACAGTCAACAGAGAACTGGCAAGCAGTTTAATCAAATTTCAGCTCTGTATTCTAAGTTGTATTTTATGCATTAATTCTAGATTTAATACGAGATTTCAATTTAGATTGTATTCTAAAAAAAATATATATATATATATACTTGATTTAACGAACACCTCTCTGGTGATCCACGATGAAAACTTGTTGATGATAGTGGATGGCGGGTGCCCCTGTCTAATTTACTTGTTAATACCACAACACTCTCCATCAAGTACTGCTGACTGCTGAAGGGCAATTTAAAAACGATAAATTTTGTAGAACCATTTGGTATGAGAAAGACAATTTCAACTGTTTCATTTTTATTTATTTATTCAGAAGATTCACAGCACAATACAGAAATAGATGTATATATATAACATTATGGGCCAATTAAAAATCTTTACATATAGTTTTTTTTTTTTTTTACAACAAGAAGGTAAACATGCCAAATATTTTTTAGTTTGTAATACAACAAAAAAAAATAATGAACAGAATCTAAATCTCAATGCATTTCATTCATCCTGGTTGAAGTTATTTTGTGTTAAAGCTTTCCTTGCTGTCACCACTCATGATAATTTCATCGATAAGCTTTCATTATTGTTGCATGCATGTGCTAATTTGCACACATGCACATTATTTCATTATTAATTTTTACCTATAACAGAGGAAGACAGTCTTCATATTAAAGAAATGCTATTCAGGGTGCTATAATAAGCACATATGATTTCACCAATAACTCTATTAAATTTTTATTGTGCTTAAAGTTATATATTATACACTAGCATGCATCCATACCTATTCAAAAAAACTTAATTTGTCTAATTGCACTATATATGTAACTCTATGTCTAATTGTATTTACATAGTGATCCTTAATCAATTAAAACAATAAAACTGTTATATTACTAATGTATCCATATACTTTTAAAGCCTCAAAATTCTTTTAGGGATTTTCTTATGTTGTTCAGGTTTAACAATGTTATTAAATCAATTATTATAGAAATAACTAATCTTACAAATACTTTAATCATCTTAGATTGCCTGCCTATAGCATTGTTACAAATATAAATAATTTGTTCAGTTTCTACTTCCTACTTAATTTCTGAACAATTGAACAATGAATGCTTGGATAAATAAGAACATTTTTTTTTAAGCAAGTACAAGTGATTGCAGACTGACAATGGACATTCATTTCTTAGTCATAAGTTTTCCAACCAAAATACCTGGTTGGGCTTAAAACTTTACGACAATGTAATACAAGAGTTTATTAAATACTTACAAAATGTTTCGAAATTCATAAATATTTATTTGTTTTTAATGGAAAAGTACTTATTTATCTCATTATTACACAGCGTGTAATAAAGTCGAAGCTTTTGTTTGTATTAAAAACGCACTGAAATGCTAACTAGAACCACAGACTTAAGCAAAATCTTATTGATCATTGATTGAATATCACTTAAAACTAGTTTCAACGGATGATGCCTAAAATACATTATGGAATAAAGTAGCTATCTTATTTCAAATGTAGTCCAGGTGATCTTTAATCTCAGTGACGTCTTTGAATACGTGCATCAATTTATTTTGATTAATTCCTTCAGTACAGGTTTTTGCACATTAATTTTGAGTCTCATCTGAGATGCGTCGTTCAATTTGGCTTGCATATTTACATGTCTATTTATTACAACAAAAACGTCCCCGAAACGATTAATCGCAATTGTCCATATTTACGAGATAAAATGATAGAATGTTTTTAATTAGCATACCGGACTATTAATCAAAAAGGACATTTGTTTATTAATCGTCCGGTGTTATTCATTTGGTTATCTTGTATCATAACTTATATATTATTAGTAGTCTTAGTGGCGCTGCTGTTGGTATTTCTTTGTAACTATAGAGGCAGACCTCATACATTGCATTATGCGTATCAACTATCAAATATAACCGGACGTCTAATATAAACACCTACATTAAGATAACAAACATCAATTGTATATTGTAACTATTCCAGTAACTCATTATTGTTTAACTGAATTCTCTGAACGAAATTAAAACCAAACAGTGGCAAAGATTGAATATATCAAGGTTTGTTAAAAAAAATGGAAATTTTAACTATCGTGTGCCAATTAAATCTTGTCGTTTAGAGCGCAGTCGCATTTTTACTATTTTTTTAACCCGACAATTAATTTGGCCAGTGCATACCTATAAAGTAGGTTTTTGGCAACTATATGCATGAGGCAAAGCCTGGCCATGCTAAATCTGAACATGTTTTCAGGCATGACCGCGCGTTCCCTTGTATGATATCCAATTTTGATAATTGAACCAATTAAAAGTTACAATTTGTCTCAGTGGTATCATTTATTTGTTTGACTGATTAATATGTATTGAATATTTATCACTTCACTTCACTTTATTTTTAATGGCGACTTCTGGGTAAATCACAATTCCGCCAATGTCGTTTCTGAATATTTATCGTCAAAATATAGATTTTTTGTTTCCACGTTGTCAAGTGCTATAAATTGTCAGTTGGATAACTAAAAGAAGCTGTATTTTATATAAGATTACAATATAGAATTGTTTTTTCAGGCATCGAAAATGGATAGCGGTCAAGGACCGGGTATGTGACCCCTTTATTTGGTTTTTGTTCAGTATTGTAATTGTATCGAGTTACAATTTCATATAATATTTTATGAAGCTTTTCAGCTTTCTTTTATCAGCTATTAAAGTTTTCATTGCGTATGACGTACATAATATATTACTTAAAATGTTTCTATTTTCCTTATTTACATCTCATTCTTAATTATTTATGTTGAGGCAAACGCATCTAAACTTTTTATTTATAAAACTAATATTTATTTGCAGGCCCGTCGCAAAATAACCACAGCCGAGGTCGTAATTCGAAATATAGACCAAGTATGTAACTAAAATCTATTATATAATATATAGCCTATCTAATAAGTTTAACCAAACATCTTTGTTGAAAAGATAATTGGAATACAAAAAGGTAAAATAAATAAAATGAAACATTGCTGAACGTTTAAAGTAATTTTATTTTTAAAAAGGATATTGGACAGGTATACGTATAGGACAGATTATTCAAAGGCATCGTCAAATTTTCAACAATATGTCATACTGCAGGGTGTCCATGCAGGACCCACTTAACAAATCGTATTGGCAAGAATATATTTATCGTCGTTTGGTAACCCTCAATAATAAAGCCAATTTAATTCCATACTATAAATATTTAAAATTTGTAAATCAAATGTTGTTTTCTTATCGCACAAAGTCTAGTTGAATTATCGTGATATTCATATGAGGGCCTTTTGAGTAAAGGCCTTCTCCTAAACTTACTAACGGTGTCAGCCCGTTGGTTTTGTGGTATTCCCACATTTTTCATTTCTTGAGGTCCCTTTTACCAGGTGACTTCGGCCAGATAACACCAATACATTACTTTAATCTTTTTATTAAAATTTCAGAACCTCGCAATCCAAAACATCAAAAACCTACAAATCAAAACAGCGATACACGTCAACCACCAGCTGGCCAGCGGCGGTGTGAGTTTTTTTGAATACCTTACATTTCTGCCAATTTTATTAGTATTACAAACAATTCAGCCCCAACAGGAAATCCTATTTAGCGGGACTCCGTTGTTACCCCTCTGCAGTAAAAGCATATATTATTCAAGATGTTTTGCCAGTGCTTAACAGGTGGGCTGAAAAGTTCATAGGCCGACGTAGAAAATCTTTTTTTGATAGAATTTGATTAGATGATTATGATACTGTATACATTCGTACATTTCTTCGAGAGTGATACGGACTATTTTGACGGCTTTCCAATATACAGCAGCTAGTCCAGAGTGACTTGAGACTTCACAAGAGTGGTGCGAAATAATATGTATTGTTACCTTATTGGACTGAGTCGTTTCTCAGCGCGTCGGAAATGTTCCTGAATAATGTTTAAAGAACTTTATTTCTCATTACAAAAATTATTTTTTATTTACATGAGAAATTTAATATTCAGTAAGTATATACGAACGAGATACACGTCGCCATCAGCTAGCCCAATTTTAGTCTAATGGGCCCATTTTGATGTGTGTCTTTAATGCCCTTTTGATATATGGGGTGCATTCCTTAACATTTATCTCCAGAGTTGGCACTTGTAGCAATAATGGAAAATTGTATTTATGTAGCTAGTTTTATTGTTGTACATGATGTTTAAAGCGAAACTTACCGCTTTACCAATGGTAATCTTAAAAACCCCTTTTATAAGTAAATATTTTTTTAGATAATGGGGCTCGTACAAAGGTTGATCACCAACCAGGCCAAAATAAAAACAGAAGGCGGCCTACATTCATTGGATATCAATTTCTGTATAAAGTCTCTCAGTGTGACAGCAAAGATATTATAACGGAATTTAATAAAAATAAAATTGCCATCATGGATATTCTGCAGAATCCAATTGAAAAATTAGATTTTTTTCCTATAATTTTGGAAATAGCTAATAAAGTTTCCGACAGTAACTTTCCTCAATTGAAATTAGAATTTATCCTCAATATTTGCAATTCGAACTTTATCAAGTTACATCTTGTGTTATATTTAGCAAATTTGCCTTTTTGTGCGACGAAGAGAGATAATATGATGTATTGGAATGACCAAGTTAAATTTTGGAATAATTTAATTGTTTTACTTGAAACAATTACTGCTATATCTCCGTCTACCGCGATGAACAGATGCAGGGCTCTTATAGAAAGTTCTTCAAAAGCTTGCATTGACTTACTTAAAGAAAGACACGGCTTTGTATTACCTGAAGAGTATACATTGAGACTACAGAAAGTGAGAGATATGATCACGGAGCATGAGAAAGTTAAAGAAACAGAGGTAAGAACACTGCTTGCTTATGTAAAAATACTTGTAACTCACTTTTGGCAATTGGTGATTCATCGGCGGATTGCGATAATGTGGGGAATTTGTCAGTATGTTAAATGAACAAATATTCACTGTAATTGATTATTTCCCGTATGTAAATAATCTGTATTTCTAGGTATTAGAAAATCCCTACAGGATACCTATCTGCGAAGGAGAACCACCGACATCATTTAGACAACTCTCTTTGTTACCAACTGAAGAAGATTTATTAGAAACACAGCCATTTCTACGTCCTAACATAGTAAAGGGAGCCTATAGTGATGTAGATCACTATTTAGACGTACAGTTTCGATTGCTAAGAGAAGATTGCTTTGGGCCAATACGAGAAGGCATACGTAAGTACCAAAATGTTTTAGAGAATGTTACGACAGTCGAAGAAGAACGAAACTCCTGTAGTTAGGGAGCGTTCCAGTATTACGTAACGCGTTTTTTTTTCCTTTTGTAAAACGTTACGATGCGGGACGGGGATTGAATTACGCGTTATTGTTAATATTATTTTCGACTTGCACCACATAATAGTAACTAAAGAGGCACAAGGTGGTCACGAAACGTTTTACTATACGTGGGTACTGAAAAACGTTACCGCGGGGGGGAGGCGGGGTCAATAATCTCCAAAAATTGCGTTACGTAATACTTGAACGCTTTTTGTTTAAATATTATTAAATTAAATATAGCTTTTTTTTAAATTCATTAAAATAATAGTATAGTATTTGAATTAGTATTAGTATTCGTTAGTAATACATATATTCATATTGGTAGTACACATTTCTTCTGTAGTCATGTCAATGCGCTTTTAATATTGTATTCTATGCGACTATAAGGGTAATTAAATAAAGAGTAACTGTGTCTGGGTACACAGTCGTTCGTCCATTACCAAGTAAATACAGATTTGGATAATTGAATGCGAGTACAGGTTGTAATCGCTTAATCCTATTTACATATACGTTTTTCTTTAAGGTTATTTATATAGTATTTATTTATATATAGAATTATATTTTTTTTATTAACTTGTGATTTTCACATTTTCAGAGCAATTTCGAAAAGATCCCAACAGGAGGCACTACGACAATATAAGGTAAAAAAAAAATCTTAAAATATAGGATTTGGTTTACTTTGGTCTTTTGCAAAAAATAAAAAGGCTTTTTATTTATTATATATTAGTTATAAGTGTTTTCTATACACAAAAACATAAATTATTTGAGCGGTATTAATTGCGCATACCTGAGCCTAAAACTACAAACTTTTAAGCATGAAGAAATGCTATCACGCAATCCTTCCATCACGCGAATTCCAATTTTCCAAGATTGGAAAAATGTTTCTCGGATTCTGGAGCAGTTTTCGCCTCCTCGTTCGTTTTCATAACTACACTAGCAAACTCGGCGAACTCCGTTTCGCCACCAGATGGCTTCGTTTCATGTAACATTTCGTTTGGTGATCCCGCTTTTCTGTTGAATTTTTTCCTGAATTTTCCAACCTTTCCAACGAATGCAAAACCGTGGAAATCGGTTCGTACGTTCTGGAGTTATAGCGTCAGGAAGGAAAACCTGACTTATTTTTATATAGTAGATCATAGAAGACAGCTATCGCCTCATATGTCGTTATTCGTTATTAGCCTCAAATACGCGTTTCCTTTTTGGAGGGTGAGTTCTTCTCCGTAACATTAATCTTACTATTTTATTGCAGGTTATTTCGAAACGTGCATTTTGCTGAACCTTACGTGTCTACAGTTAATTTTGGCAACATTATTGAGGTTGACAGACACACAAAAAGGAGCTTCATGAATATTAAATGGGAATACAATAAACGATTCCTGTACGGTGCGTTGATACTCCTAAGCAAAGATAATTGCAAGAGCTTTATCGTAGGTACCATAGCAGACCGTGAGCCAAAATATCTTTCAAAAGGAAAAGTGAGTACATTTATTTATAAATATAATTTGTTAACATATACACGTACATTTCTTATTCTGTATTTAACTACAATACTTAACTTTTTTAACATGTGCAGAGGATGATGTAATTTGTTTCTGACTTTCTGAACTACTTCTGTCACTTCACATGTCATGTACGCAAGTGTACAGTAAGTGACTTACATGAATAAATGACGCAATGTAATGAAAATATCTGTCACCGTTTTAGTAATAATATTAGCAACAATCTTATCATCAAAACTAAGCCCATGGCCTGGCTTTATTCTAGAAAAACACAAAAAAGTTATAAAAACAATCCGTCATAATGAAAAGTGCTAATTTAAAGGTGGGAACTGACCAACGTTACGAGGTGTAATGTAACATGTAATGTAATGTTACACAGCGAGCATTCGTGCAGTCAGTACGTCGTGTTACGGGGAAACCAGCGAGCAACGAGCCGCTCGTTGCTCGCTTTGAGTGCTCCACCCGGCTGTCGGTTTTTTGGCGAATCCTTTGACTGTTACGCGGTTCAGTAATTACGCGTCGCACGTCGCGAGTGATCATGATTATGATTTTCTATAAATTGTGTGTTTTTTAAGTACTTTTAGTCCAATTAAATTCAACAGTTCTTCAAAATCGAGACCTGCGTACAAAGTTTTTATACTGTCCAGTAATCATTTGGTTTTTAATATTGCAATCAATAACAAACCACCTCATACGCCTGTGTTTTTAAATAAGTTTTATGTCCAGTAACATTTTTTCTTCTTCTTAATTTGGATGAAACAATAATTAAATAGAATGAAAGATATCAACATTATCACTATCACATCTCGTGAACACTGGCGGCGAAAGTGGAGCACATAGTTTTGACGAGCATGTTACGCCGATTTTAGAACACAGCGTAACATGATCGATGCGTAACACGCTCGATGCGAATGCTACATTACACCTCGTAACTTTAGTCAGTTCCCACCTTAAGTCTAGTTAACTTCTTACGCTTGAACTAGTCATTTCTAACCATCTACCCATTTTAAAAACTACCCAATGCCGCTGTGGTAAAAATAAAATTGATATTTCTGACAAACTGTTTTACTAGTACCTCCCACATCTTGAATATGTTAAAAGCCTATTTATTAAGGTTTAAACCACGCCTTAATGATAGCTGGTTTACAACCTAATTTGTTTCGTCACCATTGCAGTCTTCACCTTTTGTGCTGTGTAATTCACAAACAATACAGTTTTAAATATTCAGTTAGGGGTCGTTTAAGTATTACGTAAGCACTATAGTGGGGAGGGGAAGGGGGGGTTCTTTGATTTTCTTATTTGGTGATTACGTCGACAGTAATTATTTACTTTTTTTAACACATTTTGAGAGTTTTGCTTACTTTTCCTGACAATTGGGGTAAATTGCAGTAAATCTGCTGACGTAATACTTGAACGGCCCCTTAGTAGAGGTATTTCCAAAACAGCGTACCATACCATTCCCTGAATGGTCGGCTACACACCCGCTAGACCTCGGCGTTGCAGGTGACCATGGGCGGCGGTTATTACTTTAAATAAAGTCCCGTTTCGTTTGTCTCCTATCCCATAAACAAAAGCGTAATATTAACCCGAACATTTATCGATAACAAATTAATTTCAGATTCCAGTTAGTTTAATAACCGAGAGAAAAAGCCTTGATATTAATAAAGATGAACAATATATAATGATTGAAAGTGATGTTTACTTTGAGCCCTATTATCACGTACTAAAAGTTTTGCAAGATCAATCATTTCCTCAACACTTGACGATGAAGAAATACATTGTGGATGTTGAGGTACGGCTTTTCTTTATTGTGGCAGTCATCCGACGTCGTTATAGAAGTGAAAATCAAAGTGGACACAGCACTATCGGATTATTTTGGAAACGTTCATGAAAGGCCGAACGTTATAATGTATTATATTTTAAGCTCGAGTAAAGTTGGCGTGTGGTTTTTTTATTTATTATTACTTCAAAATTAGGACAAACACATGATATAAATTGACATACAAAAATATTAAAAGCGGTGCCGTCCCTATAACATGTGGACATCACCAGCGAAATGAAGTAGATACAATAAACAGTGTTAATACAAAGAACCAACTATAAAATGAATTAAACTTTTTGAACCAAGAAATGAAATTATCGGTACTGTGTCCTAATTCTACTCTTAGCTGAGACCAGAGAACCATGAAATATGTAAAAATTCTGTTGTAGGGATGTTCAAATATATGTTAAATGAAACTTTGAAGCTGGGTGTTGACTCGCTTTAATCGTTTAAATCATGAGCTTTTAACTAACATTACATTAGGGGTTGCGACGCTGGTTTAACAAAAACTTACTTGAATTATTGAAAGGTTCTTAAATCTAAGTGACACTTATGTTACATATAAAGAATATAAGTGTAGTCGACCTATTGGATAATATCGGAAACGAAATGTTTTATTACTCTCTATTTAAAGGGCTCATGTTGGCTTCAAGTGTGATAATAGTTAACATTCGGTTTGCGCTCCTAATTATTGACTAATATATATATATATATATATATATATTAGTAGTAACTAGTAGGCCGGTCTGCATATATATATACATATATATATAAGCTTTGCTGTGGCTAAGGTTTTAGTTATATTACAATAGTAGTAACCTATTCAAGGGAAACGGTAGGAGAACACCAGTCATGGGGACCACCATGCTTTTTTGGTGGTAATGCCATTAAATTGTAGCTGATTTGAAACATTGGTACTTTCAACACAGCGCCATCTGTTAGAATTGTGACTATCAAATAATAAACAAATATTTTGCAATAAAATAATTTTGTGGGTGAAAATTGAGATGTAAGCTATCTTATCTTTTAAGTTAAATCAAACTGCACACGGTGTGCAAATTTTACTGAAATCGGTTCGGTAGTTTAGTGAGTCCATAGCGGACAAACAACGTGACACGTAATTTATATATATTAAGTAAGTATTATATGTAACTTAACTAATGTTACAATACATAACTCTCGTTAACATTATTTTACTCATAGGAGTTCCGTCCTCGTCGTCCTTGTTGGTAAATTCAGTTGGTTATTGTATTGATGATTTGCCATCAGGTACCAAGATCTCACAGGGCGAAAACGTAAATGTTCCCTGTGTATAAGAGTTGTTAGCGTACATTTCATACTGTGCTTCATCACTAACAAAAGACATAATATTTTTTGTTTCAGGCATCGACAAAGCCTCCGCAATTCTTTGAGAATAAAAACATTGGTAACATTTTACCAACTGCTGAAGAAACTGGCCTAAATGACAGTCAATATGAAGCGTTTAAATTGGCGCTAACTCACGAATTTGCTGTAATACAAGGTCCACCAGGCACGGGCAAAACTTACATGGGAGTAAAAGTGGCAGAGTACTTGTTGCAAAATATAAATCATATGGGCTGTCTTTTACTCATAGTATGCTACACAAATCACGCCCTTGATCAATTTTTAGAAGCGATTTTAAATATAACGACTTCTTTAGTGCGAATTGGTGGGCAATCGCGTTTAGAGATAATGAAGCCATACAATCTTAATAACGTTCGAAGCCAAAATAAACACTCACAGTATAATTCACTCTATTATGAAAAAAAGGATAAATTAAAAGAAGCAATTCTTCACTTAAAACAGTTGCAAAATAATATTATATCATTGGATAGCGGTATTACCAATATTCATACTTTGAGTTTGGTTCAAGAGAGCAAAGTTGTATGTGGCTACATCCGCGAGAGGTACTCGCAAGATACGGTTACAACCTTCTGTCTAGTTGATTGGTTATTTGACAATATAAAAATTGATTACAATATGCCAATACCTGATATTCAATTCTTGCAAAATGAATTAAATGCCTTCTATTCCAATACGGAAAATGATCACCGAACCATACACGATAATGATTTCGATGAATTCGCTATAGAGGATGCGTGTGTCAGCAACATTTGTGTGTTTTCCCTAAAAGATGAATACGAACGTGTCATTAAATTGATGACTAGTAAGGGCGATTCCCGTGTAATATATGAAGTGTTGACATTGATAGAAGTATTCAAAGTAAGTTTTCCGATATAACAATAATAATACAGTGTAAACTCTTTATAACGTCATTCGCTATAATGTAAAAAATATATAATTTGGTTGGTTTACCACAGAACCTATACATTAATACACTCTTTATAACAGCTAGTCTCTATTACGAAGAAATATTTTCATATTTAGACATCCATAACATACTTAAGTGTTGTTTTGAATAATCATATTACAAAACTAACCTATTGAGGTGCCGAAATTTCTCAGAAAAGACACCTGAGGTCATAAACAGCCGCCTCGCCTTTGTTATTGTTAATTACATTAACACGTGTTCCATTATTCTTAGATTACATTTCCTGTAGGAAATTTTGGTCTCAGGTTGGTTAAATTTGGTGTTTTTTCTCTATAACGAAAACTCTCTATACCAAACTAAAAAAAATGCTCGGTCCCTTGAAATTCGTTATAAAGAGCTTAGACTGTATATATGTATATTATAATAATAATTTTCTTATTGCCGCTGTAGTTTTTCTTGATAAACTTACTATTTATTAAAAACTACTTATAATGTGGATTGTATTCAGATCTTAGATTTAATATTTCTACGTATTAACAATAGTGATCAATATTTTTAGGAAATGAAGTCTCGTTGGGAACAAGATGAAGATGCGGATAGTAAGGTGGCTTGCGGTAATCCATCAAAAATGCCAATTTATAATCGTTGGAAATTATATTTTCAATGGGTTGCCGATTTAAAAATTAAATTACTAGAAAATGTTTCGACTTTACAGGTAAATCAATCTTTGCAAAAATGACAGCTCCCTGCATGAATTGCTTCACATCTCATTTTATATCACTTGCACTGCACGTAAATGTCTCCCTATTGCATTGCTTTTCTATCATAAATAACAATTATCGCAATGCATCTAATACTAGGTTCATCATTTTTGTTTTGTTTTTGGTCATGTCATAATGTATAAAAAAATGATCTTTAATGACAACTCTTTGTTCTTAATATGTTTTTTTATTTCGTTTTTTTTTTTTTTCCTTTTCAACCCTTCCCCTTTTTTTTTTTTTTTTGCAATATCGAGCTCTTGTTATAAAAATTATTACGAGTAGTATTGGTAATGTTAAAACACCCACTTATTCAAATAGATCCCTAGAAACCCCTAGCATTTGGTGTAATCTTGCACTTAAATTGGTATTAATAGTGAGATATTGACTAACCTTTTTGCTATTTCCTTAAAAAGCCTTATAGCGCTAGGACCCCACGGACCAAGGGCCTGGACACCGTATTTACATGCTTTAGCTTTTTCAGCCGCTTCACAAGCCGCACCAGCTCTGTTGTTGGTTCCATGTAGATTTAAATATACCACAGAACTCAATATATCGAAAACGCGAGAGAACAATAACAATGGTTCTTCAGATGATCTCAAGATTTATCACACATTTCTTTGTAAAACCCATCGCGGCGTTAAACAGTATTTTTACGTTCAACAGGATAACGCATTAGCAGCTAAAGTAGAATATGACGAAGCTAGAATGATTTTGGACATAGATAGCATCACAGAGAAGAAGGTTGTAGGTATGACTACCACTGGTGCTGCGAGGTTACAAAAAATGATCAAGGAATTGGCACCACCAATTGGTATGCACTATTTTCCATAATATAGCGTTTGATTATTATCTAAATGGATTGGATTACAAAAATCTATGTTGGATTTAAAAATCTTTTTCAGTCATTTTTTTATTTATACTCATAAATAATAATATTACGTTGATTATTGACAACTAGCTGCCCCCGCAAACTTCGTTTCGCCTTATGATTTTTATAAAACATTTTACTATGCTACCCCATAGGCCGTTTCTCCACTGCTCCGGTCAGGCAAACGTTAATTACATTATAATATTTAAAGATAGACAATATAAAAAAGTAATAAACTTGCCAGGGCAATAAAATATTCAGAATTTAGAACGTTTTATTAATAAAATAAAGTATATGGGTTTTAGTTAATATAAGTGTTGCATGATAAATATACAAGTATCGATAATTATCGGATCGGATATAGTGGAGAAGCGCAATCCGGCCTTCCGATATTTTTATTTTTAGTATTATTGTGAAAAAGCGTAGGGCGCTCTGTGCCATATTTTTCGTCTATCGAGCAACCCACGCTTTTTCACAATTATACCAGTATTTTTTGTTCATTACCATTTTCAGCCTAAATTAGGAATTATTTTTCACTTTTTAGTTTGATGTGCTTTAAAAGCGTGTTTTTAGTTTTTTTCCTTTCACAAACCTGCTTCAGAGTTCAAGGAATACTCGAATTGGTCCAGACGTCTTCGAGTGCGCTTAGCAATATATTTTACCATTCATTTTTATTTATAAAGATATAATATTTTGTGTTTTTAGTTATTATTGAAGAGGCTGCTGAAGTATTGGAACAACACATAATTACAACGCTTCATAAGAATTGTCAACATGTTATTCTAATTGGTGAGACTGGGTTTTACTTTCATATGACATATTTTAATTTAAAAAAAGGGTGCGTGTACTAATGTACGCGCGTAAGAAGTTATACTTCTTTGGCATTATTAAAAATAGTTTTTGATTGCATGCAAATAATTAATTACAATTAAATAATGAAAGACTGGAAAAGGAGTCATTATAGTCAATAGAGTTCAGTTTACATTTGAAAAATTAAATAAATAAATATTTATTATTATTCTCCTACATTTGTAACATAAATTCTATTATTATTCGAATGTTGTTTTTAAATTACGTCCAATGCTGTAGCATCTTCCGTGGGCACCTTCATTCTGTTAATTTTGTGTCACAGTGCGCGCGCATCGTAAAATTTCACTCTCATCAATTTTTCATAACGTGCCTAAAGAAGTATAACTTCAAAAATGTGTGTGTACTTTAAGTACACGCGTAAGTAGCTATACGAGTACTTCTTTGGCGTAACAAGATAAAAATCTTTTTAATTTTTTTATCTTTCGCCTTATTCTACGTTAGTAGAAAAAATGACACTAACAATAGAAAAAATTTACTCTCATCATTTTTCCCCAACGCGCCAAAACAAGTATAACTTCAATAAATATAAAATAAGCCAAATGACCCAGCCCAATTATATCCAATAGAAAATGAACGCCCGCTAAATGTAAGTCTTAATATGACCATTCCGCTTCTTTATTTGATTCAACAATAAAAGTCGCTGAAATGTGTGATAGCTTGGTTGTTTTTATGTCGTTTAACGTTGTTACCAGGTGATCAACAGCAGTTAAGGCCTTCTGCAGCCCATATGGAGTTGGCTAGGCATTACAACATTGAAGTGTCGTTGTTTGAACGTATGATCAACAACAAAATACACAGCCGCCGGTTGGCGGTCCAACATCGTATGCGGCCAGAATTTGCTGCCCTGATATCGCCTCATATCTACCCTGACCTACAAAATCATCCGTCTGTTGAAAATTTTCCTAAAATCCGAGGAATGAAAAAGAACCTGTTCTTTTACACTCATGACCATCTGGAAGAGGTACTTTTTCTTTTATCGTTTAACGTTTTTTATGCAATTTACCTAAGGTAGGTAATATAATAACTTGAGCATTGCTCCACGTAATTCACCATTTGTTTGAAAAATCTATGCTTTACTATTCCAAAAACTATAGAAAAGCTTGTGTAAATTTGTATTAGTGCTACATGAATCGCCCTAGTGGTAATAGTACAATAGATGTTATGGTTGCTTTCACCTACAGTGCTTTGTTAAGGAAATAACTATCTGTTATATCGGACGTATTATGAAATCTTAAGATTTTTACGCCCTTGGTTTGGGAAGTTTAAATTTAGAACCATTTGTTTTTTTTTATATATTTAATTGATGTTCATTAATTTGTTTACCACTTATATGAATTATGGGCTATGATGAAAAATCATGTGGTTTTCTCCTCGGGAACTGAGATAATGGGACCGCCGTGTTATGAGGATAATGCAGGTAAATTAAAAGGTATACCATATAGTGTTGGCCTACTGGTTACAACGTACAATTCTCGTCCTTGGGGTCGTAGGTACGATCCCCTGCTGTGCACCAATGGACTTTCTGGATATGTGCGAATCTAACACTCGCGCGTACACTGAAGGAAAACATCGTGAGGAAACGGCCATGCCTTAGACCCAAAAAAGTAGACGGTGCGTGTCAGGCACAGAAGGTTCGTCACCTACTTGCCTTGAAATGATCACTGAACGAAACAGAAATCTGAAGCCCAGCCCTAAAAGCTTGTATCGCCATTGGTATAAAGGATAAACGATGTTTATATTTATTTCAGTCAGGAAAAGATAGCACAAGTAAATTTAACAGCAAAGAAGCAGATGTAGCACTAAGACTAGCAAACTACTTAATGCAGCAAGGGTACGATCCGCAAGACATAACGTTGCTTTGTTGCTATACGGCACAAATGTTTTACATGAAGCGGGTAATCTATACTTCTATACTAATATTATAAAGAGGAATTTTTTGTATGTAAGTATGTTTGTAACGAAATGGCTCAAAAAGTACTGGACCGCGATTATTTCACCATTTGAATGCTACATTATCACTGATTATTATAGGCTATTTTAATTGCAAGAAAAATAAGAATCCCTACTAAAACTACAATAATGTTACCCAAGGTGTAAAAATGCCTATAAAATATCTTACATCGCATGCGCTGCGAAAACTATTGATGATAGAAGAAAAAATGTTCCACAATATTAAAGAACATATCAATATCTATCTACAAAAAAAATATTGTCCATCCGTGCGGAGCCGGGACGGGCCGCTAGTAATTCGTAAAATACATATACTTACTGTACTCGACATATTATTAACATACATTATACAAATAGATATATACAATTTTATTTCCCTAAGATGCGACCTCTATCCCGGAGAAGGCCTCCTCCAACTTCTTCCGTCCTATTATATTTTTTGCCGTCATCATCAAATTCTTATGATGACGGGGGTGTGTCAAGGCCCAATCAGAGAGATTTGATGATCAAAGTTTTTGTTACTAATACTAAAACTGGCCGTTGTATGAGAATATTGTCATCATGACATAATGTAACTTATTTGTTATTATTTTATTTATTCGATTATGATACATTAAAATATACCGCGAATCAAATCAAATGACCTTTTAACCAGCGCCTCAAAAGATGAATAAAATAATACATAATTATTTGTGTCAAAAGTCAATACCGTTTGCAATAACAGTTTTTATTTAAAAATTTCAATTGTGGTTTTAGTATTTTTCTTTCCTTATAATTTTGGCACTTCCACAAATATTTCATCATAGCCAAATCGGTCCAGCCGTTTTACCGAGACAAACGAACAGCAAATAATTTATCTGTATTATATTCAGGATGGTCAAAAAGTACCTTAATGTAAGATTTCATTCTAGGAGAAGAAGAACTACGTCCATTTGAATGACGTAAAAGTGACAGTCGTTGATAACTACCAAGGGGAGGAATCGAAGATAATTATATTATCACTAGTGAGAAATAACCTCGATAACAAGATTGGTTTTTTGGCAACTCCTAACAGAGTCTGTGTTGCCTTATCGAGAGCTAAAGAAGGTTGGTAGAGCGAAACACTTTTTATAACGTAACATAGTAATTAAATCTTTTAACATACCTGGTTAAAAGATTTAATTAAAGCTGGTGTTTGAAAAAAGTAATTGAAACAAAAATTCATGCAACTTCTAATTTGATTTCGTCTTTCTTTTTCCTTCGTCAGTTTTCTTCTGTTCCTAACAAACTGACCTAGTATCCTCACGATTTTTCTGTATTAATGTATACAAACCTATGGGTTTGGCTGGGATTCGAACGATATCAGATGTGAGAATGGCCCTCTGGGTAGGTCTTACACCGCTCAACTACTTCATCTAATATATAAAATTCTCGTGTCGCGGTGTTTGTAGTTAAACTCCTCCGAAACGGCTTGACCGATTCTCATGAAATTTTGTGTGCATATTGGGTATGTCTGAGAATCGGACAGCATCTATTTTTCATCCCTCTAAATGTTAAGGGTAGTCCACCCCTAAATTATTTTGTTTTAATTTTTAGATTAAATTAGCATTAAAAAATACATACAACCCCTAATTTTCACCCCTCTACGATCAACCCCTATTTTTTATTATAAATGATATACATGGCAAAACGACGTTTGCCCGGTCAGCTAGTTGATATATATATTTCATGATTCAGGGTTCTACATATTTGGAAACATAAATATGCTCAAATCTCAGTCTGAACTTTGGAAGAACATTTCTGGAACTCTCGAGCAAGAGGACTCTGTGGGTTCAAGTTTGCAGCTTCAGTGTTCCTTCCACCCGGAACAAATAACAAATGTATGTTCGTTCCTTTAATATTTATAAATTTCATACAAACAGGCTATTATTATTTATATTCTTTATAGATCACGACAGACAGCGATTTTGATATGGCACCAGAGGGTGGATGTTTGTTGAAATGCAATTTAAATTTGTCATGTGGACACGTGTGCCCACTGGTGTGTCATGGCTATGATAGGAATCACGAGACGATACAATGTATTGAGAAATGTCAAAGGTAAATTTTTTTTTCAAATGGTTTAGATTTTGTGAAATCACCAACCTTAGAGATCCTGAGACATCGTTTAATCATCATAGTTTAATAAAGATAAAAGTCAGTTTTAATGACATGTAAAATATTTTTATGTAATCTCATTAAATTATCTATAATATATGAGAGAAGACAAAATCACAATTGAAATGCGTTGCTAGTACATGCAACTTTTTGGTTAATGAGTGTCTTAAAATTTATGGCCACTTTACAAATAAGCTAAGCAGTGACCTTTGTACTATATTTTTCTTCTACATTACGATACGCGATATGATTTTTCTGTTCTATTGAAACTAATCAACTAGTGATTTAAAGTAACACATGAGTGGTAGGATAAAACAATTTGACCCTTAAAAGAGGTATTTGCATTGGCCATAATATAATAAAGTGGTTTAGGCAAACGAATAAACACGGTTTGAAATTTTCAGAAAAATTTGCGAAAAGCAACATGTTTGCCCTCTGGCTTGTGCAAGAGAATGCGAACCTTGCAAAGTTATCGTAAACAAGAAACTGCCATGTACTCATTATATGGATACTTGGTGTTCTACCGAACCAAAAGACGCTAAATGTCTTAGTATAGTTTCTGTCATCTTACCCCATTGTGGCCATGAGGTAAGAAGGGTATTTTTGATTCTGAAATATATAAAGGGAGCGTTCAAGTATTACGTCACGTACATTTTTTGGGGATTATTGACAACCCCCCCCATGTAACGCGCTGTAACGTTTTGCTGTACCCAAGTTAAATATTAACAATAACGCGTAATTCAATCCCCGCCCCGCGTAACGTTTTACGAAAGGAACAAAAATTTGTTACGTAATACTTGAACGCTCCCTAACTTGTTTTTTTTTCTCGTTCATAAGTGTATAAGTTACCTAATATATTTTAAAGTTTTTGTTGAATGATTCTATTATATATATAAAAAACAAGAATACTTAGTCGGAAGCTTTGCTACCGCCTAAACCTTACATATCCGTCATCAAATGTTGGCTAGTATAGCGTTTCTAAAAATGAAAAAAATGTAGATTTTTTTGTAGATTGACCACTTACGATACGCCAATACATCAAGTCTCCAATTGAACGACAAGTGTGTAAATTTAAGAGTTATTAATAACTAGCTGTCCCCGCGAAGTTTGTTGAGATGAGGGTTTTTCGTGCATTGTTCTCTTCACAAAAACCTTCCTCAGATTTCAAAGAAGAAATAAAACAAAATTACTCGATTTGGTCCAGCCGTTTAGCGCTTAGCAACATATTTTGCGATTAAATTTTATTTATATACAGTGAAAATCTGTTATAACGACATCGAATGGACTACTCATATTTGGCCGTAAAAACCGATAGTCGTAACAGCCGATGACGTTGTTATTAGGTCACTATAACCGGTAGGTATGTTGTTCTAAACGATGTCGTCGTAAACGCTTTTGACTGTAGATATCTGACAAATGCTACAGGGCGTCACCCTTAAACCTTGTAAAAAACTGACCTATCCTATTAAATATAAATGAAAATAATATTTCAGGCACAAAAAGCATGTTATGTAGATTTGGCCTCAGTAAAATGTTCAGTCCCGTGTAAGGCGCGAATGAATTGCGGACACGTATGTGAGAAATTCTGCCACGTCATAAGCGACCCGGATCACGAAAAGGTAATTTTACGGTTTCATTATATTAGTTTGCAGAACAGCCTCTTAAATAAAATGATAATGTAACCAAAAACTACAACGCAGATAGTAGGACGTACTTTTCAAATTTCGAATGGCTTGAAGATTTATGAAATCTCCAACCTTAGAGATTCTGAGACATCTTCGTTTAATCATTATAGTTTAATAGAGACAATAGTCGTTGTAATCACATGTAAAATGTTCTTATGTAATTTTATTAAAATTATCTATAATATATCAGAGAAAAGACATTAATTGTATTGAGGAACTGTTTTATTATCTGTTTTATAATTTAAATGTGTTTCATTGTGTTTCACTAACTACGCTTGTTGGTTAATACGTGTCTTAAACTGTATGGCCACTTTACCCATAAAAAACCTTTGTCCTATAAAGCATATTTTTTTCATTACAATATGAATTGTTCTAAAACTGGTCTATTAGGATTATAGACGATTATATAAATGACACTTATTAATTTTAGACCAAGTGTGAAAAGCCATGCGCAAATGTCAAAAAAGGATGTACTTTCACTTCAGAGATCGATACCGACTCTCTTGCGCATCAATGTCAAAAAATGTGCTACGAAGAGTGTGATGAGTGCAAAGTAGAGGTGAGATTTGAGACTGGACTTATATAATCAATATACCAACGCCACAGCCTTGTAGGTTTGCACCTGAGAATTCTGTAACTGTTTCGTGATAGTTAGGTTTTTTTTCTAATACGTAAGTACGTGATTACCTTCCGTGCTAGACACACGCCGTCGACTTTAAGGATCTAAGCTGTTTCTCAACAGGGGGCGGTAATTTGATTGCTAATTGCAATTGGAAAATTGACTCGAGGTTTTTCAGTAGGGGCCGTTCAAGGATTACGTAAGCGTAAGGGGTCTTTGATTTTCTTATTTGGTTATTACGTCAACAGTAATTATTTACTTTTAAAGAAACAATTTTTAACCGGATTGAAGTTATGTATTATTATAAACTAGCGACCCGCCACGGCTTCGCACAGTATTTAATTGGATAAGGATTAATGCTGTATTGGTTAAAATCGCTTCGAAAATTAGCCATTATCTGTCGTAAAAAATAAATGACAAAAAAATGTTATTGTGGGATATCCATAAGAGATAGACATATACCATCGTGGAGTTCTCTGTAGACCTTTTCAATGTGTACAATACTTAGTACATTATTTTGATAAATCTCGTAGGGTTCAGCCTGCGTTTGCATTGTAAGCGGAAAAAATGTAATTATTTACGACATCACATTAGAAACCTCAAAAATAACAGTATTTCTCCAATATTTAATGGGTGTTATTACACATATAAACCTTCCTCTTCAATCACTCTATCTATTAAAATCCGTTGCGTAGTTTTAAAGTTTTAAGCATACATAGGGATATAGGGACAGAAAAAGCGAGTTTGTTATAGATTTGACATAGTATAAATGTAGTGATTTACAATTATTTTACATAAATTTAAATTTAACCGACGTTTTGCGTGCTTTACAGCGTGCTTGGTCACGGTGACAGTAAATTTATAATAATACATAACTTCAATCCGGTTAAACAGTGTTTTCTTTAAATCTGTAAAGGTTATGTCACTGAAAGACAATACAATTATTTACTTTTTTAGTCACTACCCACACATTGTCTATGCTTGAAAACGTAATCCATTTTCGAGGATTACAAAAAATTAATACGTTTGTGTACTATTATTTTTGAGAGCTTTGCTTACTTTTGCGGACAAGAGGGGAGGATAAATTGCAGTAAATCAGCTTACGTAATAATTAAAGGGCCCCGTATATGTTTTGAAAATTTACTTACTGTGTTTCGTTTACAATTTCCTAGTGATTTCACTAGGGCTCCGGGCTCAAGGTCGCTTAACTATTGGGCTATTAAAATGAACACTCACTCGATCGACTTCAAAAAAAAGGGTACACTGAAAGTATAATTATTTTTTCCACTCGTTATTAAGGTGAAGAAGAGAAGAACCACATGCAAGCACTTGGAGCAAGTTCCGTGTAACGTTGATATTAATAGTATCAAATGTAAAAAAAAATGCGCTCGCGTACTAAAATGTAATCACTTCTGCATGAAGTTGTGTAACGAAAAATGCGGGGACTGTGATCAACTGGTGAGTGCGTTTTCATGTTTTACCGTGTCTAAAAAAAGGGATATTGTTTTTAGCTCGTAAAACGAAGGCCGGTATAATAATGCTTATTTTAATTATGTTTGAGATATAAATATTTAAAGGCTTGGTTCGGCGGTCGAGGAACCAAAGTCCTCGCAGTATTTTTGGTGCCTAAAGCAAAAATCTATGAAAAAATCGTATTTACAACTGGCGTGTGGTATCGATTTCCAGTGGAGGTCTTTCATGGGAGATAGAGCCTCCAAACTATAATAAAAAGGGCATGCTCCTCTCATAAAAGCCGTCAACGAGTAACATGGGTGTCCATGGGCTCGGCATCTACCTTTTATGTCCTCTCCGTAGGCTCGATTTCCCCATCAGAAAAAAAATAAACTAGATCACTTATTATCTTAAAAATTTATAATATTTGGCTTGTAGAATTTAAATAAAAATTATTTAACCCAAAATAATTACAAATAATAACAGTCAGAAAAGACACTCTCTGATATTTTGTATTTAATAATCTATTTTCCCTTCAGGTCAATAAAGTTATACCAGGTTGTAACCATGTCGTACGAGTTAAATGTTCCGTAGAACCTACAAAATATGACTGTACGCAACAATGCAAGCGCTTGCTAGAATGTGGCCATGAATGCCTCAAGCAATGTAATCAGCCATGTGATGCCCGTGAATGTGGGGAATTAAGTAACAAATCAACTACGGGCTTATGTGGCCATCAAATAATGATTCCATGTAAAATGGCAAAGAGTAAGTTGTTTATACATGCCATAAAATAACCTATAAAAACTCGCGGATATTTGTTTACATATCTAAGATTGTGAAGAAGCCTATGACATAGAATGAAATGTCTACTACTACTACTATACGTCGCGTATTTGCTACTTATTTTCTTCGAGTTAGTTTGACAGCCTTATTGTAGAAACTAGTAACTACGACTCGTAAGCAGTTAAGACATGTAATAATAAAACCAAACGTTAGTTGACCACAGATAAGGAGATTTGTTGAGACATATTAGACATAGACGATTGCTGTCGAATTGATGGCGTTAATATGACAATATCCAATAGAATAAAATTAAATAGTTATATGTACTGTCATCTTGATGTGGTAGTTTCGTACTATATATATTGTTATGCTCTTTGTAGCAATCTATGTATGACAAATAAGTTTGAATATTTATATTATTTGATGACATTACATTACAGATAATCCGAATGATCCTAGTTTCAAGAAAGAGCTACTCCGTTATTGTAAGTTCCCTTGTTCAGCTGTATTGAGTTGCGACCATCGTTGTGTAGGCTCGTGTTCTGAATGTTATCAATTTCGTCTGCACGCGCCCTGCGCCGCCAAATGTAACAAGGACATCATATGTGGACATCGGTAATATACGAATTTAAATCTCTTTAGTAACACTTCATTGGTCTTGGGCTTGAGACAAAGTCACTTTTCGACAGGCGTGACACACTAACGCCAAAGTAATTTGTATGAAAATAGTCACGTGACGAAGCGTGAGCTTATGTCATTCCAAAAAAAATCCTGTTGAAAAGTCGTTGTCTCGAGACCCTTGTGGCGCCAAATTTTTGTTCTCATTACTTGTCAAAGTGAAGTGAATTTTGGCATTAGCTGGGTGATGGCGCGGTTATCAAAGTAATTTTAATAGGGGGCCTCATAGCCTAGCGGTCTTATTAAGTGGCAGCTAGGTGAGGGGGGTACCGGGTTCGATTCCCGGTTCGAGGGCAAGTTTTAATTTAATTTAAATTTGTTCTCGGCCTTTGGGAGGGTTGTGCGGTACCGAACGAGTGCCTAAACCGTACATGGAGGATATGATCGAATTTCTAAAGGCAAAAAGCACGAATGATAAAAATCTCATACTTGACGCTGGCTAATGCACAAATCGTGCCAGAGCCATATAAAAAAAAAAGTAATTTTAATGCCAAAAGTTAAGCCAAAAAGCCTTGTTTTAAATTTGTTTTAAGTAATTTGCCATATATAAAATACAAACATGCCTCTTTATGGCCGTCTTGTTGGAGTGTTGACTGATATTATATCTTCAATAGGTGCGTTGAACCCTGCAACGAGGTATGTCCGCCATGCAACAAGCCTTGCGAAGTAAGGTGTCCACATTCGAAGTGTAACAACCAGTGTGGTAAACCGTGTGTATCCTGTAAGGTAAAGTTGATAAATTATTAGGTATTTGCTATTTAATATTTATATATTGAGTCGCCAGTGGAAGGTTCAATGGGGTATGAATATAAACGAAATAACGAATTCTGATTCCATATAAACAAAAAAAAAAACCTGTCAAACCGATTTTGATTAAGCTTTGACTGTGTGATTTTATTTAAATGAACGAAAAGCTCATATCTCGAAGAGATCCTTAAATTAAAGCCTTCCTTCAAGCTTTTAATGAATACATACACATCTACTCAGTGCCGTGGACATACTCGAGAGCGTCAGATATTGATAGCATGTATGTCCTACATATTATTAATAATGTACGTACGTTAATCTGATTGTTTGCATGATGGGAGTAGTCGTACGTAAGGGTTGAAAATGATTAAAAAAATCGAGTGCGCCAGATTTTCTAAGGGGATGTTAAGTGAACCTATAAAAAAGGTCTCATCTAATAATCTGACGATTTGGATCTGACGCAAACTCGCGGCAATTATTAGAAGAAGGAAGACAACCTTTTTGTTGTCTTACCGTACTGACTCTTAGATTTAATAATTAGCTTTATGGCTACTATATAATTATATCTCGCAGGAAAAATGCACACGCCGATGCCCCCACGGGCAGTGTAAGAGGCTATGCGGACAGGCTTGTTCTGTTGCTGCTTGTTCAGAGCCGTGTCCCAAAATACAAAAGTGTAAACACCCTTGCCGAGGTCTGTGTGGCCACCCATGTCCAAACGTCTGCAAGATTTGCAAACCAGACGACTTTCCCAAAGATTTTCTGGGTGATGATTACGAAGATGATGCAAAGTAAGATATATTATGCCGATCTTTCGAAATTTGTTTTTTGTATGATAATAGAAATACCTACGTTAATGTCGCAAATGTCAAATTGTTCGAAATGTGTGTACAAAAGTGTAAATATGTATAGTCACTGACCCTAATATCTTTAGAGCGTGACATTGACAGATAAAAATTACAGATACCGAATTTGAATGATTGATTTTTTTGTTCGTTTTAATGTCAAATAGAAAAATGAATCTTCTGTATGCGGATTTAAAGAAAAAATGGCGGAATAAAGGCTTCGGCCTTTCGGAACTACCAAAATTCTCCAATTATTACCAAGAACAACTGGCTGTATGGACTAAAGTCCTTTCCCTATACCATTAGGGATAAATTAATATCATCATTAACCTTCTGTATGCGAAATAAATATATATGTTTTCAGGCTCGTCTTGTTGGAGGACTGTAACCACATCGTGGAAGTAGAAGAAATGGACACATGGATGTTCAGTAAAATGGATACGATAGGAATAAAGTCATGCCCAAAATGTCGAAAGCCTATCCTCAAGAGCTACCGCTATAAGGATATCATAAACAATATATTTAAATTCGATATAAATCCCGTGAAAGAAAAAGTTTACGGAAGTAAACGAGATATTACCGCGAAGATGGAAGAACTAAATAATAAATTACAACATCTATTTAATGAGGATATACAAACTTTGTTCAATTTTCGAAATAGTTATCTTTCTGGTGTGTTTACATTGTTTTAAACAAATCTTTTTGGGTAGAGACATGGAACAAATAATAATTTCTAGAGATCATAATGATGTATGTATTTATAATTTTCGCTTCTTTTCAGATTACCCTGAACGAGCCTATAAAGAGCTGGAGAAGTATGTGAAAAAAAACAAGCGACTTTCACTTATGCAAATAGAGATGAGTTTAATATACTGTAACATATTGGAGATTCTATTTGAAAAAAGAAAAAATTATTCAGGAGTAGCAAAACATTTTCTCGCGGAATTTACCAGTCAAATTAACGACATCTACCGATACCTAATCAGGAATGTAAAAAAAATTAATTATCAGCAACAGCAAGATATAAATTGTGAGATCAATCGTGTACACGCTACAATTCAATATGAGAACTTGGTTAGAAATTACTATACGATAAATAAACAACCGGATATTTTGAAAGCTTTTAACGATACTGAAAGGATAATATTCAGTATTGAAAGATTTAACAAGGAAAAAGGTACAGCCGCCTTAAAGTCGTTGCAAAATGTGATCAAGTCGAATGTCGTGGTCATATTTGAACAAGAACGGAAAATGATTGTCAAAGCGATCGGTTTGAAAGCCGGGCATTGGTTCAAATGTCCGAATGGGCATTTCTATTGTATTGGTGATTGCGGTGGAGCTATGGTGGTCGGTAAATGTCCCGATTGTGGAACGGCCGTAGGCGGAACTAGACATACCTTGTTGTCTGACAACAAGCACGCCAGCGAAATGGACGACTCGAAATTCCCGGCTTGGTCTGAACAAAATAATTTGGAAAACTTTCACCTAGACTAGTATATTGTCTATAATTACGGGTCCTGTAATTGAGCACACAGAATGGAGACAGATTTAAAATATACATAAGTTTAATTTGGTCTCGTACTGAAATAACGTTCAGTAACCGCTCGGCAAAACAATTATTGGCTTGGAGTAATAGAAAATAAGTTTGATGTATAAAGGAATAAAAATGTATCGTATCATTTCGGTTACGGGTAAGTTCCCAAATGAGCAGACACTATTCTATTAAGCCAAACAACTGATATTTCGTTGTTTTCGTTATTCTTTCATGTTTCTATTATATGTATTTATTTAACTTTTAATGGAACCCTAATTGCATAAGTTTGTTTTTATTCTATTATATATTATTTCTTCCAACCAGTATGATGATTTCCTAATTATTTTAATTAAGCATTTGGTGTAAATTATCAGATATGAGTGATGACTTATTATAAAGTTTTAATATGTTTTCCAAACAATATTGTGACTGTCAGATCTAGAAGTGTTGGTTTATGTTACACTCTTATTTTTTTAATGACAGATTAATATAATAAAATAATAAAAGATTTGATACCGATTTGACACGAAAACGGAACTGACGGTCATTTTCTTTCATTATATTTTTATGTAACCACTCATAAGCTTAAGAATGTTAATCCACTTATTACTTAGGCATACAATAAACATTTAATAATTATTTGTTTTTTTTTTACCTCGATTAAAACGCTTGTATCATTCATATATGTATATGATAAAACATGCAAGGGCTTTAAGGATTTCT